TGTTGGCTTGTGGTGGTTCAAGTAAAAGCAGAGATGAGAGATGCTGGGCTGAGAACTGCAACCCAGCTCTTACATTCACGGGAGTGATCTGGGTAAGAGTGAGGGTGGAGTCAGGTTGCTGTGGGCTGGAGGAAGAGGAACCACAGTGGGTTTAGAGTGCTCAAGCACACTGCCATTGTTCCCTCTTCCAGAAGGTTCTCTTAACAGGTTGCACCTAGCTGGCGCTCTCTCTCTCTCTCTCTCTCTCTCATTTGGGTCTGTGCAGAAATGCCACCTCTAGGAAACCTTTCTCAACCACCCCACCCTGAAGCAATGGCCTCTTGGTGTCCATCTGTGCCATAACAAAGGTGGTTTTGTTTTGTTTTGTTTGCTCTTCTTTTGCTTTAAGGAATATCTTACTATCTAATGTCACATTACTTGTATGACTTGTGTCTCCTCCCCAAGTAGGGGCCCACTGCAAGCCTTGGAAGCCAGGTGAGGACAATAAATCCTGAGTGAGGAAAGGGACAGCTAAGGCCAGGGCTGTGCCCATGCAGGCCTTTGGTGGTGGAGTACGTCCTGATCCACGCCACTCCAAGCAGCACCCAGGAGGTAAGCTAGCCAGGAAAGTTCTTGTTAAGAGCCCAGGTGGCTGAGGGGAACACCCCTGTCAAGGTCACAGTGGGCAGTGCCAGACATCTTAGTCCCCACTGCCCCAAGGTCAGCTGCCTGCCCAGCCACTCCAAAAGCATCCAGCATCCCCCCAAAGACTTTCTTAAAACTTAATTTGAGGGGCTGGAGAGATGGCTTGGTGGTTAAGTGCATAGGCTGCTCTTCCTGGGGATCCAGGTTCAATTCCCAGCACCCACATGATTACTCCAGTTACAAAGGACCTGACACTTTTGCAGACATACATGCAGGCAAAACATGAATGCACACAGAATAAAAATAAAAAATAAATTACTAATAACAACCCTTAATTTAGCTTTGGTTCCTGCCTCTAGGTTCTGTCTGGAGTTTTGGTCTCCTTGAATAGCCCCTTCTTTCTCCAAAGTTGCTTCTGTACAGCAACAACGCTAAATTAGGACCACACCCAGCAAGTTTGGCAGGGAAAATGGTGGCATAAACAGCTGTCTCAAGGAAAACAGGGGCCTTTATAAGGGAGTTTAGATCCTATTTCCTCCCTAGGCTTGATTCTGCCTGGCCTGACTTCTTAGGATTCAGTGTGGGCCTTTCATAAACACAAGGAATTCGAGCTGGGCTGGTGGTGGCACATGCCTTTAATCCCAGCACTTGGGAGACAGAGGCAGGAGGATCTCTGAATTCAAGGTCAGCCTGGGCTACAGAGGGAGTTCCAGGGCTACACAGAGGAACCCTGTCTTGAAAAACACAACAAATCAAGAAACATAGACGACTAGGAATTTAGGTTCTGCTCCCTCATCATCCCTGGAGGCTGGGTACTGGGCACCCTGTCTGGACTGAATGCATGACTCGGACTAGTGCCTTCCTTCATAAGTCTTAATTCCCGTATCTTTGAGAGGAGGTGACCAGCTCTGCCCTGATTTGGGAAACAAAAGGACTTTGGGCTGGGCAGAGGTGTGACCACTGCTATTGTGGTTACTACTGAAACAAACATCCAAGGTAGGTTAATGACCTGGGTGCAATTCCAACCCCTGAATCTTTGAACCACTTAAAGGGGCCTCCCATTGGGAGGGAGGGAGGAAGAGGGAACTGGGACTGTAAAATAAAAAATAAATAATAAAAAAGGGGGGGCTCCCATCACTACACTGGGCTGTTATTCTATTTTGCTCATGAAGATGGCAAGTCACCTGCCCATAATCTCCTTAAGCATGCCCTTGGTCCTAATGAGGGATGGGGCTGTGGGCCAGAGCTCCTCTGAAGTCCTGCCTGCCCATTTTCCTGCAGCTAGCAGTTTGTGAGGCCAGTGGAATCAAGGCCATCACTCCACCTGACATATTTCCTCGGTGGAGTGGGGCTTTCCCTTGACAATGTTCTTTTTCCACAACAGGGTCCCTGAATCCTAGAGCTGTGTTGAAGAGTGGCTTGTCATCAGGACACAGTGCTCCCCAAATGTGCTGGAGGGCAGGAGGTGACCTGTTTTGACCAAAGTATTGGTCAGAGGAGGGCGTTGGAGGCATGAGAAGGGGAGACTGCTGAAGGAGGAACCCACTTTTACTAGCTTTGCTAGGGCCCTCTGCCCCCCTCTTCCCTCCCTAGGGACAGGAAGAGACAGGGAAGTCCCATCCTGACATTTGACCATGGTACCTGACTCTAGGCCTAAAGTAGTCCCAGCCCCAGGGCTGAAAAGCCCCTCTTGTCCTGACCCCTTGTCTTAGCAGCTTTTCCCCCAATTTCCTATTCTCTCTCACACAAGCCCCCATGCCTCTCCAGGACTGCATGAGATTCTCTGGGTGGTATCTAAACACCCACACTGCCTCCATGACACCGCCCGTCTGCCGAGGAACCTTCTGGCCTCACCACAGCTTCCTGTCTAGAGATGTCAGGGCTCAGGGGAGGCTGATAGAGCCCCACCCCCTCTGCCTCTTGAGCACTCAGTACTCCGTGAGGGCTGAGGTCTCTTCCGCAGGATGGAAGTAAGTAGCCAGACAGGCCTTACATGTGGGCCTCATGGGCATAGACGCACCGCGCATTCCATTTTGGGCTTGGTAAAAATTCATCTTTCTGGGGTCATTCCTGTCCCATAACTCTGATCATTGCTGACTGGGAAGGTAGGCCCCTTTCCCCAGTTCTAGAGCTTTCCATAGCATTCACTAAACTCATCTAACTCAGCCATTGCCCTCACCCCCCTTAACCTCTACTTTTCTTCAGTCTAGACAGTTACTGGCCATCATTTTTTCCCACATCATCCCAAGGCCCAGCCACAGGTAGAGCTGACTCATCTCCCTGATAATGAATTCATTTACTCCATGGTCACAGCTAGAGCCTCCTTCTGACAAATACCATGAACACGTATGACCAAGCCTCATAAGCATAGTGCTCACCGGCCAGGGGATTTCCAACCGTTAGGACTTCCCCAGTCACTCTTCAGTGACAGATAACATGCCACTCTTCAACACAGTTCTAGGACTTAGGAATCCTGTCTTGGAAAAAGAACAGTGAGTGGACACTCCTTGAGAGGGCATCTCGATTCTCCACCCTCTACACAAGGAGCTGGGGCCAGAGCCATGTGTGAGTGCATATAGCTCAGGCCATTAGGCGAGAGGATGGAGACCTGGAAGGCAGCATGGGCTACTTAGCATGTCTGTGGCCAGCCAGAGAAACAGACCCTGTCTTGAACAAACAAACTCAGATGGAGAACTGGGAACGCAGCTCAGTGGTAGTTTAGTATGCCTTAGCACAAAGCAAAAGAAGTCTAAAGAACCGAAGAGGCAGCCCCTGTGCCGAACGCTAGGTAGATGAATTTTTGTAATTCTTTTGACTATTTTAACTCTGGTGAAAGATAAGGAAAATGAGGTTCAGATGCCCCTAATGACACAACTAAGTGAACCAAGACAGTGTCCAAGACAGTGACTCCAAGCGGGCAGCAGAGCATTACAGACAAGGTCATCACAGGGCACCTATCATCACCACCTCCCGATGACAGCCCCTGGGGACCCTCCATCAAACTCATCCTTCTACCAACAGTAGCATTCTGATCCTTTGTATGGCACTCTAGCCTGACATGTCCTTCGGGCATTTCCCTTTTCTCAGAAAATGTCCAAAACGGTCTCTGCTCTGGTCTGATGGGGGAAACCAGTCCTGAACAGGGGACTTTGGGATGTGACACGAAAGGCTGGTGGCAGAGGGAGGGAAAAACACACTTCCTGGCCTCTCCTGGGGCTGTGGAGAGGCGTGCAATACTTGTGCTCAAGCCCAAAGTGTGGCCAATGGTCCTGCCCCTCCCTGGCTCCTGGATCAGAGGCATGTGAAAGTAAGTTTTCCAGACACACTTTTACTGGTCTTGGGGCCACACCCCAGAATTCCTTTCTCATACACCTGGGGTTGGAGGAGAGGATGGGTGGGGAGCCTCCGTGGGCCACTCAGAGGGGTCAAGAGTTTCTCCAGTAGACCTTGCCACTACAGGAATGAGGTAGAGGTCTGGGGTGGGGATAGCCCCTCCTCATCTTCTCCAGGGGGTGGTGGGATGGGGAGAATGGCTGGACTTGAGCTCCATTTAAAAGCAGAGACTTTACCTCATGCACACAGGGATGGACTAGCAGGGAAGGGGCACTCAGTGACAGTGACGTGGTTCCACTCCAGTCACTAGACACTGAGTCACCAAGCTGGGTGAGGCTCCACCTGGCCCAACCTTTACCCTGAAAATGCTCATGACACCCCAAAGGGAATCCCAATGTTTGTGGACTATGAACGGCACCCACCCCCTTGAGGGGCTGGCACATAGTAAGTAGATAGAATCTTGTTTTGATCCATATCCTAGACTTAGGTTCTTTTCTAAAGTTGTCTATTCACAGAAAAATCAAGAAAACACAGAATGGACTGTAGCCCCAGGATCCCAGAAGTGAGGGACACAGGAGGAGGTCCACTCACAGGACCAGGACATTGGGGGTTCAACACAGAAATGCCAGTCATTGAACCCTGGAGTCACAGCTGCGATCTGGAGCTTGCTAACCTAAAACTATAGGGCCCAGAAACATAGGTCATTGGAACCCAAGCCCCAGGGGATTCAAATCAAATACCACGGTAAGTAAGGAATTTTGCAACCTTGGGAGGTAGAAGTACAGCCCACGTTTTCTAGAACCGCAGGAGAGGAACAAGGCTGGAGAACAGAACATAGCACTGGGGGGGGGGGGGGGTTCACCTCAATCTATTACCACCATTTAAAGCTGATATGGCAGAGGTCCTGTTGGCTTACAGGGCCCCCCGACTAGCCAGCACTCTGCAGAGACCTTCTGGCATGTTAGGGAATGCCCCCAACAAGGCAGGGGAAACCCGGGGGGGGGGGGATGACCATGGGGACCTTTGGGCTCTGGTGCACTCACCAGCCGTGTCGTAGAGGTTCAGGGTCACCTCCTTGCTGCCCACTGTCACACTAGCCGTGTACTTCTCAAACACCGATGGGGCATAATGCTGTAAGAGAGGGGGTCAGGGTTGATCTTTTAGGAGGTACAAAGGACGCCCAGAGTCCCAACAGATTCCTCCCCCACAACTGTCTAACACCCTCACTCCATCCAGCTCAGACCTGGCAAACCACTGAGCTCAGGGATTTCCCGAAGGGCTGCCTGAAGGAGACACCCAGGACCGCACGGTCCAGACTGTGGGCCTGGGTCCAGGCTGGAGGACATCCCTTGTTCCTAGAGGTCCCAAGCCCATCCTCACCCCTCCTGCCACCTACCGGGCCTCACCTCGGGAAAGGAGCCTTGGCAATACACCATGAGCAGCGACGTCTTGCCACAGCCGCCGTCACCCACAATCACTATCTTCAGCTCCTTCCTTGCTGAGCTGGGGGCGACTGCTGGGGCCGGAGCACCTGGGGCGTCCATAGCCCAGAGCCCGCAGCACTGGATGCTGCGCTCTGCCCAGAGCCCAGTTGAGTGACAGGGTGGGGGCGGGGCTGCAGGGCAGGGCCACGAGGCTCCGCCCTCGGGCAGCTGGCACCCCCTCTGCCAGGCAGCCTCCCAGGTTCACCTCCCTGTCTCTATTACCTTATGCTATGGTCCCGGCCCTGGGTGTTTGTCTCTCAGTCCCCGGGGAAATGAAAAAAAAAATTGAGGAACCGGATGCTGAGTCGCAAGCGCAGAGCATCCCCATCACCATGCGTCCCTGCGCACCCCCAGCTTGTCAGAGTCGTGGTTTCTGCCTCTTCACACCGACAGTCCTTTATTGGCAGGCTCCGCCTTCTGGCGAGGACCCTTTGATTGGCCGGCTCCACCCCCTTAGCGACTCCTTGATTGGCGGGCTGTACCCGGCACACAGGTTCGCATCCAGCCCTTGCAGTTAGTCGGGCAGTGTGGACTGCTTTCCTACAGGTTGTAGCCACGGTCGTCCCTAAGACGCCAGAACGTGGATCATATGTCCACATAGTCTGAGACTGGCCCTCGTCAATGTGTGACTATAGGAATTCCGCTCCCCTCCCTACTCTTTCTGTTGACCCACACCGTGGAGCCCTGGCGCCCCCTGCCGGGAAAGCCTTCTGCACTGGCCTCAGGTGAACAGCCTCTTTCCAGAGTTTGACTCAAAATACGTAGGCAGTATTGAGCAAGGCTCAGAACCCAAGCATGACACTCGCGACTGTGATGGTCGTCGAGGATGTGGCCCTTCTGTAAGCTTCGGAAACAATCCCCATCTCCACCAAGAAGTGTTCTGGTGTCCTCTGGCTTCATGTCTTTCACCCCAGGAATTCCACTCCCACCACCAATAGCTCTTGGCTGAGAGCTTAATACAAACAAGTACTAGTGATACAGTTGGCTAATGTCATGTGACCCATTCTTTTCCTGTTACTATGAGCAGAGGGTCCCTGCAGCCTGCCAGAGATAGGCGGTCCCGGGGGCATGAAGATGCCTACAAGTTCTCGGCAAACCACCAGGAAATTTCACTTTGTGGAGTAGTCTACTACCAACCCGGGAGATTTCATAAAAGCCAGGCCATTTCTTCTTGTTTTCCCGCCCCCTCCCCTTTCCTCCAGGAGGTGCAAGGCAAAGCCATACCACCAGGGGGCAGCAGCGACCGCCCATGGAAACGCAAAAGACAACAGGGACTGGGGGAGTGGAAACCTGGACCAACCTCTAGCTTTTGGGCAGAAACCCCTTCTTGTCGCTGGATCAAGGGCCCCTTAACAAATGTTCAGCAACTCGTTTATTCCTTTTTTGCAATTTGTTTATTGAGACGCAACCTGGTTCCTGCCTATGAGGAGCTGTCTGGAGGAAGCAGTGTGGTGGCGCTCCCAGCACCGGTGTGATCAATTTTGAGATTACAGCCAAGGGACCAGGGAAGGCTGTTTGTTGTACTGGGTACAGTTGGGCAGAGGGTGAGCTAATGGAGGCTGGAAGGGGTGCCCAATTTGGGTAAACACCCTGCAGCTGGAAAACCCTCCTCAGGTTTTCCGGTGAGGAGACACAAGCCCAGGTGGTTGTCAAGGTAACAGGCAGAATCAGGGAGGGCCAGACTGCTGGTTGGAGGAGGAGAAGGGCTACAGAGACCCAACAAAACCAAGAAAGGGAGGAGGGGCTGGGGCTGTATCTTAGTGGCCCTGTGAGGATGGCAAAAAAGGGTGGACAACATGCCAGAGACTGTCCAGAGAGCAGGCTATTCCATAGTGGAGTAAAACCTGCAGAAAGGGAGGGAGGGAGGTTCGGAGTGAGCTGGGCCCAACTTACCTCTGTAGGGTTTCCAGGTCTCTTCTCTCAGGTTTCTTCGGGCCTGGTCCTGGGCCCAGGAGGCTGGCTGGCTTCATGTGCCAGGGGAAAATTCACTTAGAAAGAACAATACTTGTTCTACTACATATAGCCAAGAGAGGGCTCCTGACTTCCCCCAGACCCCCCAGACCTGTGTCTGCACCCTCCGTACTGTGACAGCAAGTCTGCAGGAAGCTGCAGGGAGGAAGTGACCAAAAGCAAGTTAATTCTGGTTCAGGTGGGTTCAGTGCTGCCACTGGTCACCCCAGCCTCACCAGGAGGCTGGCAGAACCCCAGCTTTATCAGGCCCGCAGTGTTGGATTTGGACCCAGCTTCTCATGGTGATGGTGGGGCTGGATCGGTGTAGCTAAAAATACCCAGGAATCCAGCCAGCTGCTGTTTAGATCCTTCTCAGAGGTCGGGCCAGGCCAGCCCAGTTGAGGAGATAAAACACACTCACCCACATGGGGTGGCTTATTCCCTCACCTGCAATATATATTGTTCTCTCCCCCTGCCCCCATCACTCGGATTCTTCAAGAATTCCTGGAAAGAGTAGGAAAGCGAGAGAGCCCTTCAGCTGGTCTTGCCTCAGGGAGCCAGCTGCAGGATGGTCTCAGGGAAGGTTATGCTACAGAGGCCAACAGGGAAACAGCCCAGGAGAGCAGAGGCAGGAAAGCCTTCGGTCTGGCAGAACAAAGTACAAATTTGGCTGGGAGGAGGCAAGGGGCCACTCCCCTTCTCAGAGGCACCATAAATCAATTATTTAGCTGTCCAAATGCAGATGGTAGATAGTGGTGGGATAAGGGCTCCAGCTACAGCCTTAACAAACAAAGGGGGGAGGGTGTGAAGCCAGGGTGCCTTGGGGGTGCAATCTTATCCACCTGGCTAGGCAGGGTCTCTCCAGGTCTCAGCTGCCTAACAGCCTAGGGAACAAGTGGAGGATGGGCAAGTCATTTCTAGAAGCCAGGCTGGACAAACAGCTAAAGCCAGGCGCAAAGGAAGTGTACTTACGGTCCCAGCCTGTCAAGAGGTCTAGCCTGGATATGTCAAGACCCTCCTCTGTCACACCAAAATGTTAGAAAGAGCCCTCCTGGTTCCCCATCCACAGGAACTTGCCCGAGGGCACAGAACACAGGAGCACACTCTGGGGGGCGTATGGTGTTGGGGGTATTTCTTCTCATCTTGGCTGCCAGCTATACCCAGAGCGTCTAAAAGGTCATGTTGCAAACTGGGGCTCCAGGCCAGGTGGAGGAGACGGAAGGGGCGGGACGCTGGAATCTTTGTAGTGAAGCTAGTCCAGCCACCTCCCAGCTCAGGCAGCCCTTCCGCTGGCGTGGCCCTCTCTCAGCAGGCCAAAGCAGCCCCGCCCCAAGCAAGCTCAGTGAGTGACCAGTGGGCGGGGCACCCCTCAGGGCCAGGAACAACATAGAGACAAACTGCCCCACCCTACCGCCCTGGGGGTGATAAGGGGGCCAGAAAAAAAAGGTAAAGAGCGTGAAGAGCAGACAGTAGTCACAAATTGGCCCAATCACCACCGAACCAGTTTAGCACCTTAATTGTTCCCCAAAGTCTGTAGCCCTCCAGGGCACAGCTGACACAGCATGACTTAAACCAATCACTTAATCTGGGGCTGGAGGAGATAAAGACCCCAGACTCTAACCAGAGAAGCAGAGCTCTCCCGTAGACCAAGTAGGTTCAAAGGCTTACAGAGTATCTGTGACGTGAACCAAATCAACTTCTAAGTGCTTTTCCCGGCTCTTCCCACCTGGGGTGAGGAATTCAAACTTCCCTGAACAAAGCCAGCTGCTCATCCAGGACTGGATGCCCTGCCGACTACACCAGGACCATCCTGGTTCCATGCTACCAGACACTGGCAGTGATGGACGCAGACAGCTGGCACGGGAGGGTTCCTAAAATAACCCAGACAGCTGGGGAAGGGGGTGTCAGCGGCCCAGGCTCCGGGCTGAAAAATCAAGATGCCTGGAACCCTGTACGGGCTCCGCCAGTGGTGGCCTCATAACCTTGGGTGAGACTTTTCGTCTCTTGGGACCATTGGTGGGTAACCCTTAAAAACCATAGCCCCAAATGATGACCCCACCACAGAACAGCCCATTGAGCCCGGAACAGGCTGGACTAAAACCTGCACTGGAAGAAAAACAGCTGGCTGCCTTCCCAAGCAGAGCCAGTTTTCTTTCTCCTTTGCCCGGAGGCTCCAGCACGTGCTTCAGGAAGTGGGCTGGTGGGGAGGAGCCCAGAACACAGCCCAGCCCCCACCCCTGCAGCCACTCCCAGCGACAATCCCTATCGTAATGGAGGCCAACTAGTAGGAGCCGCCAGAGCCAAGAGTGCGCCCCCCTTAATCTCCATTAATCCTCCCACCAACCTTTTCCAGCAGTTGTTATGATCGTTTTACAGGGGAAACACTGGTCCAAGGTCACTACCCCATAGCTGCCGGGCTTGAAGCATCCCTGACTAGGCACCAACATGGCTCCAACAACATCTCCGTGAAGCCTGCCAGGCTCCGCAAGTCCCACTTCACACAACTGTAGGAGCGAGGAACAAGGGGAAAGACAAGCAGCTGGGAGCTCAGGCCAAAATAGGGAAAGCATGATCCGGGGCACCTGTAGCCAAACAGCTTATCAAAGTAACACATAACTAGGAACACACTTGGGGGGCCGGGGGCAGATATCAAGGGCCACACCACCTTCAGCTGAGAGGCTTCCTAGGCCGGGGGAAGGGCAAGCCAACTGCTATCTACCCAGCCAGGTGTCACCTGGCAGGAAGAGTCTGGAAAACTGGTAGTGCCTGGGACCTTGCAAGAAGCGCAAATTCTTAAGATGCACCTCCGAATGAGAAACTCAAGGGACTGCAGTTAGCTTCAAATGAGTTTCCCTCCTGACTTCTGATGCCTGGGCTGTCTAATTTTTGCAGATTAGGGAGACCGTGTTGACTATGCAAGGTCACTGCGGGTAAAGAGCCAGCCCCCTTTCATGTCCGGTTTTGTAAGATTCTAGAAGCCAGACACTATCGACAACCTGGCCTTGTTGGGAGGCAAGAGAGCACTGTGAGAATCCAGGAAAAATGGGTTATCGAGGGAACCTTTTCTCTGGGAAAGTTGCCTAAGATTTCAGGTCTTTTGGTTCTTTGTCTACACAGCAACGCAGACATCAGAGGGTGGCTCGTTTGGTTCCCCTAATGGGGCTCAGGAGGAATGGCTGAAGCGCAACCGGCAAGCCTGGCAGCAGTCAATGCCTTCAAGAAGCAGCCAGGGCCCTCCCACCCACCATAAAACACACCACTGGGAAATACTTCCTAGTCCTGCTCTAGTAAGCTGCTAAATTCGGCAGAGAATCGCCCGCCCTAAACAGAGGTTGACAGGCGGGGCTGGATGGACCCAGCAGGCCGCCCATTTCACACACACACAACCGCCACATCAGCGTGGGGGAGGGGCTGCAGAACCAGCCCGGCGAGTTTGGGGATCCCAACCGCCCTTCGAAGGCCGCAGGCCCAAGCCCCCTGATACAGTTCTCTTAACTTGGGGAAAGGGCTCTTACCTACCTTAGTGGGAAAGCTGTCGGCCAAATTAAGCCTGCTCCAGATGTCCAGAGGAAGCAAGGGTTGTCTACTGTGGGGATAACCCAGACATTGCTCCGGTCTCCGGCCAAGACCTGTGAATTCGGACGATCTGTTAGGACAGTCCCACAGTTTGTAGGTCAGAGAATGGATTGGTCAAATGCAAACCAACAGGGTCTACTAGATAGAAAGGAGGCTTCAGAAATGCTTTCCCCCTTTCCCAGCTGACAAGGCGGCCCTCACTCTGGAATGGATGGGGGTGGGGTGGGGGGTGGCTGAGTCACTAAGGTTCAGCTAGGGCGACAAGCAGCAGGAGACGACTCATCTGCATTTCCAAAGGCCCGCCCTGTCCGCATCCCCTCCCCCAAGAAGACTGAGATCTAAGGCTTTACCCTCGGGCATTATCACCGGGGGGGGGGGATCCCGAGGGGGAGGCCCCAATCGGCTTTCCCAGGCCCCAACCGCCCCCCTTCAACACACACCTCCAACCCGCAGGGCTGGATTGGAGGCTGTGCCCCCGGCGTCCAAGTGAAGGGGCTCAGGCACTGCGAGGGCCTCTAACCCACAGTGGGGACAAAAGGGAGACCCGCCCCTGCGGCTCAGCTATCAAAGGGCGACTGGGGGAGGCAGGGGTGGGTCTCCTGAAGCCGAGTGGGCTCGAAGGGAGGCTTAGGCAGCCTCTTGGCCCTTGGCTACTTGGCTTCTATTCCCAGGCAAAACGGCAGAGACTGGAGCCAGGGCGAGGCCTCGTGCCCGCTTGGGCCTTGGAGTCTGGGGCTGATGCGGAGATCAGGGTCTCATCCCTCCTCCAGCGGCTCGCCCTGCCCGGCCCGACTCCTCCCGCGGCCGCCACTGCGGGAACCGCGCGCCGCGCCCGGGGGATGGGAGGGGCGGGGGGGCGAGTGCAAGAACTCTGATGCGCGACACCCCCAAGGCCTAAGGCCCCCAGAGACCCATCACCGGGATTCCGGGTGCGGAGCCATGCAGGCTCTTAGGACCCGGGATTGCCTCCCCGCTCCCAGCGACACCCCGGGAAAGCAGGATGGCGGAAGGAAGGAGGAGAGTTGGCCGCCATTAGCCACCGCAGTATTGAACGGCCGGGCAGCCCCAGCCTTGGCCCCAACCCGGTCCAGCCCGCGGCTCGGCTCAAAACCTGAAAATAAAACTCATATTTGGGAGGGAGGAGCGAGCGCGGCCGGGAGGACAGGCAGCGCCGGGCTGCAGGCGGGAGAGATGCTGCGTCATGGTGCCAACATGGACGCCGGCCTTTTGTCCTTTTTCTCTTTGGAAGAGCAGGCGAGCCCCGGAGCCCGGAAAGCTGATTTAAGGGTGCAGAAACCCCACAATCAAACGGGAACGAGATCCTAGGATGGGTGGGAACGTTTCCTCGCCTTTTCAGCCCCTACATCTCCAAAGCACTTCGATTTCTTCTCTGCCACCAAGGTCCAGACCTGAGTCGAGCCAAAGAGACTAGCGCAAGGCAGCTCCATGGATGCCCCAGGGTACTGGGGAGATGCTCTCTTCGCCTTTGGGGCAGAAGAGGCTAAGGGGTCTAGAGAGTCTTTGTCCCCCTCACCCGCCCACTGTCATCGGTTGGCAAACTCAAGCTCCAGAAACCTCAGCTCCCATCATCTGCAGCCCATGGCCTGCTCAATCAAGAGTTCCTCGAAGGGGACAAAAGGCACTTAATTTTTTTTATTATTATTTTAGTTTTTTTTTTTTTTTTTTTTTTACTTACCCGCTCAGCCCGGTGCCATGGAGTCTAGAAGAAAAAGCTGGGTGGTGTTTTTGGAGATGTTATTATTAAAAATATCAGTTTTTTGTTGTTTTGGTTGTTTAGTTGGGAAAAAAAAAAATCTGGGGTTATGGTGTTCTTTTGTTGTTACCTTTTTGTAAGTTACACTCATGGTATTTTCTGCTCCTTCCACGACTGCAAACTTTCCAGGGTTGGGCCGGCAAAAAGGCGGCTTCGCTGTGGACTGTTTACTGCTCTGGATTTAGCAATGGTGTGATCGTCATTAAGAAACAAAAGGCGAAAATACGGTCAAATCAAACAAAAGGCAAAATAGCTCACCAGCCATTCCAACCACCATAGAAAACACCATCGATTTAACGTAGGTGTTTGGCTCGAACCAGCTAGGACTTGTTTTCCAGTTTTAATCTAGTTTTCAGTGACGGCTTTTAGTCTTTGCAAAGTCTTCCTTTCAACAACACCCCACACACACACACACCACCCCCCCCAAGTCGAGAAAAACAGCTGCTTTTCTTCAAAAAAGATCGATTTTCAAAGAAAGTGTACAAGTTACTGGGAAGAAATCTGAGCAGCATCTATTGTTGTAAACATTTTTCAAAAAGCTTGCGCTAAAAACCGTAGCTTTATAAAAGCAAACGTCTAAAAGCATTTTAACTGACTTACATCAGACCGAGACAAAGACATACATGCAGATGGAGGTTCCGAAAATTCAGGACATCGCAGGCGACAGTAACATGAAAACTGTAGTGCAGTAAGGACAGAATGGACTGGGTACTTACAATGTAAAAGGTTTTTAGAAAATTTAACAGTAACAACAGCTCACAATTTTGTTATTGGCTGCCATTTCGCTACTCCTACAACTATACATTTAAAACATTACCTTGTTAAAAAGAGTAGTTAATAAGATGACCAGGTTAAGTGTTTAATAGAGGAAACTATATTTAAAAATTTATTGTTCAGTCAAGAGAATACAGATTAAGACAGCTCCAAGCTCTCCCCCCACCCCCCCAAGAAAAAAAAAGAGGAAAAAAATTAAGTATGTCATTTACTTAGGTTTTTTTGAATTCAAAACTGTTAACTGCTGACATTAATAGTGTGCTATGACCTAGTTATACAAGACAAAGATGGATTCCAAGTCATAAGGAAAAATCCAGATCTTTTTAAAAGGTCTTCTTCATTCTTCCAAGTGTGAGTCCTTTGGCAAATGGTAAACACACTCAGGCGTCCTGGACTGCATGGTGGAGTCAAAGGAAAAACATTCCCCATTTGCAACAAAGGAAAAACCCACTTGGCCATTTAATTCCATTGCAGAAAAATGGCTCCCCTCATCTGTTGGCCTCTCCTTGGAGTCTGATGAAGGATGTTTTGAGAACAGCGTCTAATAACTCAAGCCCTATAGAAGCCGCGTGCTGATTGGCTGCCGCGCCCTGCCGCCCTGCTCCAGCCAATTACCTACCCACGGCCAAATTACAAACCCCGAAAAGAGCCCCAATATGAAATACACCACCACGAAGCCCCAGCGAGGTGGCTGCTTCGCCTTGGCAGCCCGAGAAGAGAGACCGAGGGGTCTGCAAACATATCCACGCGAAGCCGGGGAAGCCTCAGAGTTGAACTCACAAAATGGAAGCCGAGCGCTGATTGGCCGCCGCCACTCCCGGACCTTTAATAAAGAAAGGGGAAGGAAAATGATAAATGCAAAAAAGGGGACTCTCTGTAGCTGGTGGCTGGAGGAAGGAGGGAGGAAGAAGCATGTGTTCAGGACAATTACTGGACGCTCCCCTCCAAAAATAAAAAACAGAAAGAAAAAAAAAAAAGCTATCTTCCACGTCCAGGCGAGGGCTGTATCCTCCCAAGAATGTGAAGGCTAATGTGGTTCCAAATCTTGGTTTCCCCTCCCCAGTACAGCTCCAGGGAGGGAGGGGTTGTGCGGGCCGAAGAGGAAGCGGGATCGGAGATACCTCGATTGCAACTCGTTTGGGGTCGACGTCTGCTTGCCCCAGGCTCCTAGTATTCAAACACACAATCACCCCCCTCCAAACCCAGCCCTTTCGCCGAGTCTCCACGCGCCCACCTCCGGTCTGGGCAGTTTGGAAACAGTTTGGGAGGCCCCGGGGGCGCACGCCGTGGAGTGCCCCGATGCTGGAAGGGTAGCCCCAGCCGCGGGAGGTAGAAGGCCGACGAGACCCCCTCTCCCCCGCCAGCCGAGCCCCCCACCTCAGTCCCAGCAGAATAAATAAATTAAAAGGCCTTCCCCCCGGGGAGGGGGGAGGCAGTGTGGGAGCGCGCGAGTGAGGGGTGGGGGGCCGCTGGGGCCCGGGGCTTTGGCGGCGCAGCTGCCGCCGCCGGGAGAGTGCCTGGGGAAGCGGCGAGGAAGGCGAGGGGAGGAGGAAGAGGAGGAGGAGGAGGAAGAGGAGGAGGGTGAGCGCTCGGGTCGGGCTCCTTAGCGGTGTATTGTGGGATGTGCGGCTACTGGGAGCCGAGCCTCCGCCGCCAGCCGCCTCCCGGGCAGCAGCAGCAGCAGCAGCAGCGGCGGCGGCAGCGGCAGCAAGGGCAGCGACAGCCCGGGGCCCGGCAGCCGCTAAGGCGGCGTCCCCCCCATCCCGGCCCCCGGTCCGGCCGCCCCGGCCTCGGCTCCCGCGGGGGACACCATGTACTGGCTGGCGGCGCAGGGAGGCCGGCGCCCGGCGGGGATGTAAGCGCGGCTGGGGAGGGAGAGAGGCCGCGGCTAGAACAGCCGGGTGGCCCGAGCCCCCGGCCCCCGCCCCGACGGGCGACGCCAGGCCTGCCGCGCGCCCCGAGCCCGAGCCGGGCCGAGCGCCACGCCGGGCGGCCGGCAGCACCATGGGCCGGAGCCCGCGTCCTCCGTGCGCCCCGGACCGCGCCAGCCCGCAGCGGGGGCCCCGGGCAGCCCCTCGCTGCCAGCCGGAGACGGTGGCCGAGCGGGCGGGCGCGTAAATCCTCCCGGAAAGGGTTTATTCTCTCACTCCATTCTTATTTTTTTCGGGGGGGGGGGAAGAGCCAGCGAGACAAGCTTTAGGGGCGCGCTGGTAAGGTGGGAGGGGGTGGGGGCCAGCCGATTGGATTCTTTGGCGAATGTGTAGAAGCGGCGGAGAGAGGACAACAACTTGCTGGTTTTCAGGTTGGGTTAACGGCATGGAGAACAGTCACCCCCACCACCACCACCAGCAGCCCCCGCCGCAGCCCGGCCCTTCGGGCGAGAGGAGGAACCACCATTGGAGAAGTTACAAGTTGATGATTGACCCAGCTCTGAAAAAGGGGCACCATAAACTGTACCGCTACGATGGGCAGCATTTCAGCCTGGCGGTGAGTAGCCGACGCGCCTTCCCGCCACCCCCACCCATCCCCGGTGGAGCCCCCAGACAGAGGCGAACGGAGGGGGACCCCTCTCCCAGCCACCTGGCCAACTGTCAGCCAGGGCTCCCCGCTCAGCCTGGAGTGCGACTGGAGCCTGGAGGGGGGGATGCCGCCCGCCCCTGGGGAGGGTGCCAGCCTTCCATAGCGAGCCCCCTATCCCTGCCCACAGATGTCCAGCAACCGCCCGGTGGAAATCGTGGAAGATCCCCGGGTGGTCGGAATCTGGACCAAAACCAAGGAGCTGGAGCTGTCGGTGCCCAAATTCAAGGTAGGACCCCTCCTCTCTGTCTATGGTCCCTCCCCCCTTCCCCGAGTTCGAAAATAACGCCAGTCCTGACCAAGCCCAGCCGGATTCTGAGTTCCCGCCGTCCAGGGCTGGGAAGTTTTGGCGGGGAGGGGGAGAGTGGTGTCCCCTCCCGGCCACTGTAAACAAAATAACACTCGGAGAAACTGTAACGAGGGCGCTGCTACCGCGTCCTGCCGGCGGAGCTGGGGGCTCCGGGTCCCCACCTGGGTCCTGTGCACCCAGGGGCCTGGTTCAGGGACCCGCCCCCTTTCCCATCCCTTCGGCGTTAAAGGGGGCAACTTCCTAGACCAGGGGGTCGTCCCGGAACCTGTGGCGAGGACAGGAGGCCAGAGTAGGGGGTGGGGAAAGAGAAACTGTTTCTTTTTCCCCTTTCTTTTAGAACCCAGAGGACTTCCAGGTTCCAAACGATTTAATCCTCAGCTTCCCAGGCCCGCCCGCATGCTTTTTTTCTTTTTCAAAAAAATTAAAAAAACAATCACCTTTTATTGTTTTTAACCGCTGGGCAAGTGAGGAGTGTTGTGTTTTCTCTTTGGTTTTAATGTTTTCCAAACTCCCTCCCCCCCCACTCCCTCCCCCTCTGCGGCCCCTGCTAGATCGATGAGTTCTACGTGGGCCCTGTGCCTCCAAAGCAGGTGACATTTGCCAAGCTGAATGACAACATCCGTGAAAACTTCCTAAGGGACATGTGCAAAAAGTATGGGGAGGTGGAGGAGGTGGAGATTTTGTATAACCCGAAGACCAAGAAACACCTGGGTATCGCCAAGGTGGTCTTTGCCACGGTCAGGGGCGCCAAGGAGGCGGTCCAGCACTTACATAGCACCTCTGTCATGGGCAACATCATCCACGTGGAGCTGGACACCAAAGGTTAGTAGGGCCTGAAGCCACCCATGGGGGAGGAGCTGGAAGGCCACCTGTCAGCCTGAACCCCGTCCTTGGAAATCTCCCTTCAGAGTTAGAAGAACCCTTCTGTTGTCCTTGGGATAGCCCCCCCCCATCACCTTATTTTTTGTCCCCTCCGGAGGACAGTGTCACATGGAGCCAAATGTGTTGTCTGTTGCTAGGAGACAGGCCATAATTTACCAAATGTGCCAGTCCTTGGCCACTGCACCCTTAGGGACCACCCAGAGGTTTCCGCTCTTGTGACACCCCCGTGGGCCCCTCCCTCTGAGCCCCAGTGGCCTGGGTTTAGGCAGTCCCTAGTGTTGCTGCCTAGTGTTGGGGAGAAGCAAGCATTTGTTTATTTGTAGGGGGCAGAAGAACCATGTGCCGTTAAATTCATAAAAGTCATTGCTTAAAGATCTATGGTGCCATGCTCGGGCCCCCACACACCCCTACCGGTGCCCCGTCCCTGAACCAATCTGAGCCCTGGAGTGTTTCATTGATAATGTTCTGATAGCACTGATAGTGGATCTTGGGGGCGGGCTGCTCTGGGTGCTCAAGGGTTGACACTTGTCTTCCCTCCTCTCTCTTAAAGAGACCGCAGCACCTTGGTCTGCTCAGTCAGGCTGGGGAGCCACACCTCCTACCTCCAGGGTTGCTGACTCTCCCCTACCCCACCCCCCACCCCCACTCAGTCCTGGCTCAAGACTCAGGTAGAAAGGCCTGGCAAGACTCAGAGGGTGTTACCCCTTTCTGAGAGATTCCTACTGATCTGAAGGAAAGTGCTGGGCACTCTGGAATGAAGGAGTCCCTAGTCCCGGGGTCCCACTGTTAAGTCCAGAGTTTGGAGGTGGGGGGGTGGTCCACCAGGGAACCCTGCCTTGAGTGGACTCAGGTCCAGCGTAGGGTGTTGTGAGAACTAGGTTTGTGAGTACCTGAGCACACAGCAAAAACGAGAGGAAAACTTACTCTGTTTTGATTTGCTTTTAATGATGGCTACACATTGACTGCCTCTCTGAGACAAGTGCTGGGTGTTTGGAAGGGTTGCGGTGGTTCTGGCTGGATTTAGTTAGCCCACTTGCAGAGCATTGGCCTAGTCATGTGTCATAAGCTTGTCATTTCTGTCTGATCTACAGCTCCCCCGCTTCTCTTTTCCCTGGCTCCACACACTGTAGTAAAGCTCGTGCGTGCGTGTGTGCGCGCGCGTGTGCGTGTGTGTGTGTGCGCGCGTGCGTGTGCAAACAGACTTCTAAATCTACTCCCCTTTCTTACAATAAGCTGAAGTCTAATTTCCCCTAAGACTTAAATATTCAGTCCCCCTCTCCCCTCCCCTCCCCCACATCCTAAAGAGCAGCTAAGTCTTAACCACAATTTCATTTCTGGAAAAAGAAAAAAGGAAAAAGAAAAAGAAAGAAAGAAAAGAAAAAGAAAAACAACCCTCAGATACTACCACTTCAGTTTGAGATTGTATTTCAAGAAAGAGCCCAGCAAAGTGTAAAGTGTAGCTCAAGGAATGCACCTCCTTTGCATATGTAAGCAGCCATCTCTAAGGCTCTATAAATACCAATGATCTGGGGCCTAGTTGATAAAAATTCTCTGATGGGTAGAGAGTTAGACTTTGGGCTCATTGGGACCATGTGGGTCCCTGGGAAGTCCCCAGGCAGACTAGGGCCTCTCCTGGGCTTAAGCTAGTGAAAGGCACCATACAGTTGGTTCACAGTAACACGTGTGTTTGACAGACTTTGCTAGTCTTCTGGCCCTAGATAGTTAACAATCACCCCAGTCACCTGACTTCCTATGTCCTTGCTACAAGCTGTGCTGATTCAGTGGTGAAATAATCTTGGGGAGATGGGGTTAATAAAGGCTCCTTGGGAACCATGGCCTGGATAATGAAAAGGACTTTTCACTGAGGATGGCATATTTGGGTTTTGGGGGAGTCTCTACCCAACAGGGCACTCACAAGTCTCGGTCAGAAAAATCCAAGTTTTGTAGCTTTGTTAGACAGACGAGAATCTTGAAGGAGGTGTGAGAGAGGGTAGGAACATAATCAGGCGATGCACAGTGTCCCCAGGCTTGTGGTCTTAGGCACAAGGGATCCATGAAGATGCTAATAAGCAAGTTGGAATCCCCATGGGTGCATCTCCTGCTGGAGCCTCCATGGATACCCTCTCCCTTGCCTGTTTCAGGGGAAACTCGCATGCGCTTCTATGAACTGTTGGTCACCGGCCGGTACACCCCCCAGACGCTCCCAGTGGGTGAGCTGGATGCTATTTCTCCAATTGTGAATGAGACCCTGCAGGTAGGTTGGTCACTGTCCATCCCATGGCTCAGCACCTCTGGCTTTAGAGGTGGGAACCAGACCTGCTTGTATGTTCAGAGCTGGCCTAAAAGCCCTGTGTTCAGAAGATCTGGTATATAACATGTCTCCCCTGGGATTGATCCTGCTCCCTATAGCTTTCAGTCTACAGAGTCCCTCCTCCCCTTCTGCCCTTCATCTATGCTGGGATTCCTGAAGACCTGGGGCCACTCTTCCATGTGACTGTCATAACGTTGCTGTGTTTGGGTCTTGGTGTCTGGCCATCCCTGTACTGTCTCTAGGAAGCAGAGTGCAGAACCTCTTCCAGAGCCTTCTGCCTCCTTCTCAGCCCCCTGCCTACCATGACACTCACTTGACCAATTCCACCCAGCCAGTTTCAACCTGCCCCGTCCCCCTACTGCTCAAAGGGTTAAAGTGCCTACCTGATAATCAGGAGGCACTTGTCCTATGCCACGCTGTTTAAATGTCTAGAATTTGGAAGGACAATCCATCAAACCCAAGACCACAGTTCTTGGTCATGTCTCTGTCTCAGTGCCCTTTAATGTCAGATAGCCTGAGGAGGGCAGGAAATGTCAACCTTCACCAAGATGTCAGGGTATTCTCTTTCTGCCTCTGGGATTAGGGAAAGTCATCAGTGTCCAGAGGGTAAACATCTATACCTAGGGGTAGAGAAAAACCAAGAGCTTCCCAGTGCTTAGCAAGCTCCCCAGCAGCCAGAGTTTTAATGGGAAACCACTTTGTTCCTCCCTCTACCCCTGTGATTTCTTTCCTTTCTCTTTCTAGCTATCAGATGCTCTGAAGCGCCTCAAGGATGGCAGCCTGTCTGCGGGCTGTGGCTCTGGCTCCTCCTCTGTCACCCCTAACAGCGGTGGGACCCCCTTCTCCCAGGACACAGCTTACTCCAGCTGTCGTCTGGACACACCCAACTCCTACGGACAAGGCACCCCGCTCACACCTCGCCTGGGTACCCCTTTCTCACAGGATTCCAGCTATTCCAGTCGTCAGCCCACACCCTCCTACCTCTTCAGCCAGGACCCCACAGCAACTTTTAAAGCTCGGCGGCATGAGAGCAAGTTCACTGATGCCTACAACCGCCGCCACGAGCATCATTATGTCCACAATTCTGCCGTGGCTGCAGTGGCTGGAACCACAACTAATTTCCGAGGCTCCTCAGACCTTTCCTTTGGCAGCGGTGGAGGCAGCAGTGGCCCCCCCTTCAAGACCCAATCACAGGATTCGGCCACATTTGCCCACACTCCACCTCCTGCCCAAGCAGCCCCTGCTTCTGGATTCAAGTCAGCTTTCTCTCCATATCAGACTCCAGCACCCCCATTCCCCCCACCTCCGGAGGAAGCCACTGCCACAGCAGCCTTTGGGACCCGTGACAGCGGGGAGTTCCGGAGGGCACCTGCGCCTCCACCCCTACCGCCTTCTGAACCTCCAGCCAAGGAGAAGCCGGGCACACCTCCTGGGCCCCCACCCCCAGACAACAACAGCATGGAGCTGGGTGGCAGGCCTACCTTTGGCTGGAGTCCTGAGCCCTGTGACAGCCCAGGCACACCCACTCTGGAGTCATCTCCAGCAGGGCCAGAGAAGCCCCACGACAGCCTGGACTCCCGTATTGAGATGCTGCTGAAAGAACAGCGCACCAAGCTGCCCTTCCTGAGGGAGCAGGATTCAGACACTGAGCTCCAGATGGAGGGCAGCCCCATCTCCTCCTCCTCCTCCCAGCTCTCCCCACTCACCCACTTTGGCACTAACTCGCAGCCTGGCTTCCGTGGTCCCTCACCGCCCTCCTCACGCCCCTCCAGCACAGGTCTGGAGGACATCAGCCCAACACCACTGCCTGACTCTGATGAGGATGATGACCTGGGCCTGAGCCTGGGCCCTCGGCCCCCACCTGAGCCGGGCCCCCCAGACCCTAAGGGTCTTCTAGGCCAGACAGCTGAGGTGGCTTTGGACCTGACAGGAGACAGGACCCCGACTTCAGAGAGGATGGATGAGGTACTGCGTATCTGTTCTATCTGGGATTGATTTTGTCTGTCTGTCCCATCCCTCCCCACTTGATACATTTCACTAGCTAAGATGCAGGAGCCATGGGGACTGGGTGACAGTTGTGTTGTCCTCATTGGAAGTAGAGTCCAGATTTCTCAACTTGGGCTGAGTTCTGATTCTGAGTTGGAGTTTTACGGCACTGGAGGGAGGATAGGCTGTGGTCATGGTTGCAGATCATTTTCTCTGTTAGTGGTTGAGGAATGATCAGTTCTGTTTCTCAGGCATGTTGGAGGCTGGCCAGGGTGCTGTGTGGGGCTGGCCCAGCATTGCTCCCAAGTGTTGTCTCTTGGAGCCTGGTGCACTGAAGAGAAAGCATGAGGGTGTGTGTGTGTGTGTGTGTGTGTGTGTGTGTGTGTGTGCGCGCGTGCACGCACACGCGCGGGAGGCTTCTCTCCCACCCATTTTAGATGTTCAGAGGGAAAGTTCAGGTTAGCTTTGGAGGGGGGAGCCTAGTGTAAATCAGGCAAATTTTTACCTGCCCTTCCTCTGTTCAATCCATCCCATCGCTCAAACCTCCAGTCTCAGAAGTTTCAAAGCTGGGAAGGTGATGGTGCTGTGGTCTGGGTTTTCTGCGAGAAGAGGGTTATATATCCTCCTGGATCCCCATTCTCCTGGGTCCCTCTCAGTCCTCATCCTGGGTCAGGCCCCTGGCATCACTGGGCCCAGCAGACATGAACAAGTAGAAGCTCAAATACAGCCCCATGGTCCTGGGGGGGGGGGAACGACAGAAGGGCGCAGAACGGAGGTTCTCCCAGCCCAGCCCCTCTGGCTGCCTGTCCGAGAGAGAAGGTGGGGTCCACAGGTGGCTGAGGCTCCTGAGAGCCTGCAAGCCCTTCTGGGGAAGTGGTTTCTGGCTTCAAGGGTTAAGGCAGAGGGAGTTGACAGGTGTACTAGAGCTAGCTAAGCTGTAGGCCCTCCCCCATCCCTTCTAGGCAGCCCAGGTTTGGCGGATGTTTATTGTGCCAGCCACCTGGTCCAGGGCTGAGAAGCTCAAGAGTAGCTGGAGGGCATGAGTCTCTCCTGCACACTCTCTCTGGGCATAAGAGAAGAGGAAGCTAAGGCTGGAAGGTCTGGAGTCTGGGGGCTCCCCAGGACAGGATGCCTTCAAGAAGAACTGAGCATTGGGCCGGCCCTCGGGTGCCCCCTGCTGGCGTCCGGGAGAGCAGTACTTAGGTTTTGTATCTGTTAATGTGTGGTGGATGTGTTAGATAAAGTGCTCTGCCCACACTAGGCTGAGGTAGAGGCAAGGGAGCAGCAGCGTGGAGGGGCCTGGTAGGGAGGGACAGGATAGGCAGAGGCTGGTGATTAAAAGCACAAGGTTTCAGCTTCAGAACCTTAGCTGCCTTGGGACATGGGCTATGTGACCTAGAAGAAGGCATTTTTACCCTCTAGTCTCAGTTTTATCATCTGTTGAGTGGGTCAATAAGAGTCCCGTCTCTCCATCTCCATGGAAACATGGCGTTGCCTGGGAAGCCCAAGCGTCTTTCACCTAGACCTACAGGAACTGCAAGACAGCTGGCTCCTACCCGCTGTGCCCAGGGAGGGGGCAGGGCCAGAGCTCGCCTAGTGCTCCTGTGATTGGCTGACTGGAGCAGCCTGGGTTAACCCTCTGTGTGCTGCTCCACAGTGCTAGGTGCTGTCCAGAGCTGATGTTAGGGCAACCTTTCTCTTGCTCAGCCTGCTGGGCCCTTCCTTACATGGATACCAGAGAGAGAGAGAGAGGGAGAGAGGGAGAGGGGGGGAGGGAGGGGGAGGGGGAGGGAGAGAGAGAGAATGAATAGCATATAGTATGTACAGGGGAGATGAAAGGCTAGACACTCCACACACCAGTGTCCCCTCTGAGACCATCCTCACCAGGTGGTGTGACCTCTGACCTCACAGTGGCCTCTCAGCCTTCCAGAGTTCTTGCTGTCTGTCAGACCTTGTTAACATTTTCACCCTGGGTGGGACCTGACCCACACAAAGAGTCTGCTGTGGGACTGGAACTCATCTCCCTTTCCTCCAGCTCTACATATACCTAAGGAGCTCAGTGCCCCTGACCAGTTCCCAGCCTCTGACTCTAATGTTCCAAAGGCCCAGGCCTCAAAGTAGAAAGCCCTCCCCGTCTTGTTTTTTTGTTTGTGGGGCGGGTATCCCAGCCCTGGTTCTCACTGTCGGCAGTGGCTCTCCTCAGCTTCCTCCTCTGTCAAAAGGGACCCACGTGGTGCCTCACCGTGAGGTTTCCCTGCAGCTAAGGAGACCATTCGTATCTATAGCTCGCAGTTCCACGGCAGCATGGCAGCCTTTTCTAAAAGCCCAGACGCCCTACGTGAAGGGAATGATGAGAAAAGGTTAAATAGTTCCGTGGGAGCACGCTCGGCTCGCTCGCCAGGCTCCAGGGCCGCAGAGCATTCACCTAGTGTGCTGAAGGCTGGCCTCAGTCCTTTGCACTTCAAAACAAACAAACAAAAATCCCCCATGAGTCCTTAACCCTCAGCCACCCAGCCAACACCCTCTCAGATGTTACATTTCCGTTTGCACAAGGTCCTGCTGGCTATAGTGAGGACCCCTAGCTGGCTGCGCCCAGGTTGGGGAACTACTTCCTGTTTGAAATCCCAGCTGTGTCTCTTATTGGTCGTGTGGTCCCGGGGAAGTTACTTAAACTTTTCCTGTGTCCCAGTTTCCTCATTAGTAAAAGTGGCGACACCAAACCTGGCTTGCAGAGTTCTAAGAAATACCTAACGTGTGTAAATTTTCCTGGTGCGTGGGAAATGCTATGCCAGGGTTAGCTCCTTCCTTCCTGTGCTCACTCAGACTCTCAAACTGAAGCTGAGTCTACTTCACCCTGTCGTCCCATGTGTCGCTGCCCCCTCCTTTTCTCCGTGGTGCACTACTGTTCCAGTGAAGCTTCAACTCCACAATTCACAAGTTCCGCCTCCATACGAGGCCAGACTGGTGTCTGTCCCTTTCATGTCCTCAACATCTAGAACAGTGCCTGGCACGCAGGTGCCGAATAGATGTTTGTTGAATGAGTGGCTGTTTTGACACCCCTGTACCAAAAGGGAAAATATGGTTTGGGGTGGTTGGTGTGGGTTTGTGCATCCCCGACCTGTAGCTGGAACATCTCCAGTACTGATCCCAGGCAGGTCTCCAACTCCCTGGTGCTTGGAAAGTGCTTATGAGCCCGCACCTTACCCTCACCGTTCTCTTCCAGGGCCAGCAGTCCTCGGGAGAGGACATGGAAATCTCGGATGATGAGATGCCCTCAGCCCCCATCACCAGCGCTGACTGCCCCAAGCCCATGGTGGTGGCCCCAGGGGCAGGGGCTGTGGCAGCCCCCAACGTGCTGGCTCCAAACCTGCCCCTGCCCCCACCCCCTGGCTTCCCTCCATTGCCCCCACCGCCCCCACCGCCCCCACCACAGCCTGGCTTTCCCATGCCCCCGCCTTTGCCCCCTCCACCGCCCCCACCCCCTCCATCCCATCCTGCGGTGACAGTGCCCCCACCTCCCTTGCCAGCACCACCAGGCGTCCCGCCCCCACCCATTCTGCCGCCGCTACCCCCCTTCCCACCAGGACTATTCCCTGTGATGCAGGTGGACATGAGCCATGTGCTGGGTGGCCAGTGGGGTGGCATGCCCATGTCCTTCCAGATGCAAACACAGATGCTAAGCCGGCTCATGACAGGCCAGGGCGCTTGTCCCTACCCACCCTTCATGGCAGCTGCAGCTGCTGCTGCTTCAGCTGGACTGCAGTTTGTTAACTTACCCCCGTACCGGAGTCCCTTCTCCCTGAGCAACAGTGGCCCAAGCCGTGGGCAGCACTGGCCGCCCCTGCCCAAGTTCGACCCGTCTGTGCCACCACCAGGCTACGTACCACGTCAGGAGGACCCACATAAGGCCACGGTGGACGGGGTCCTGCTAGTGGTACTCAAGGAGCTCAAGGCTATCATGAAACGTGATCTCAACCGCAAGATGGTGGAGGTGGTGGCCTTCCGGGCCTTTGACGAATGGTGGGACAAGAAAGAACGGATGGCCAAGGTATGTGGGTGGATGGGCAGGGGCATCCTAGAGTGATGAGAAGGCAGAGAAAAACCAGGCCAGGTATCCCTTCCTCCCAACATGTGTTCCCGGATCTGTGGCTGCCTCTGCCCTTGGCATGAGACTCCTTTAAACAGTGCAGCTGACTGAGAAGCCTGGTCCCATGGCCCCTGGCTGTGTGCGGCTCATTCCATTTAAATAACAGAAAGCAAGATGAAAGTACAAATCAAATGCAGTTCCTCCTTTACCCAGGTTGAGTTTCAGGAGCTCAGTGGCTTCCTGTCCAGTGGCTGCCAGCTCAGGTGGCCTCTGGGACCCAACTAACCTTCTGACCTTCCTTTTCTCTTTCTCTCTCTCTCTTTTTTTTTTTGGGGGGGGGGTTTCGAGACAGGGTTTTCTGTGTAGCTTTGGAGACTGTCCTGGAACTAGCTCTTATAGACCAGGCTGGTCTCGAACTCACAGAGATCCTCCTGCCTCTGCCTCCCGAGTGCTAGGATTAAAGGCATGTGCCACTAACACCCCACCCAGCTTCCCTTTCTCTTCTGAGGTCTTTGGCACAAAGCCTGACCTTGTGGAGACTACTCCCCCCCCCCCCCAAGATAGGGTTTCTCTGTGTAGCCCTGGCTGTCCTGGAACTAGCTCTGTAGACCAGGCTGGCCTCAAACTCACAGAGATCTGCCTGCCTCTGCCTCCCAGGTGCTGGTATTAAAGGCATGCGCCACCAACACCCAGCTGCCCTGTCCTTCAGAGAGAAAGTTTTCTTGAATCCTTTTTCTTTAAGAGGCAGAGAATCTCAGCCGATAGTCCAGGCTCAAGGATGCTTGTGCTTCTTAGGCTCTGTAGCTGCTATGACAGGCACTTACCTGGCTTTGGTATTTTGAAACCCTCTCAATTAGGCTGGGAGTAGTGACACATATCTTTAATCCCAGCACTGAAGAGGCAGAGAGGCAGGAGGATCTCTCTGAGTTTGAGGTCAGCCAGGGTTTCATAGTGAGACCTTGTCTCAAAAAAGCAAATAATAATAACAACAACAATAATACAAATCTTAGCTCTAGTCCCCTCTGCTCCTTACCCCAACCCCAGAGGGAAGCAGACTTTACGTGTTTTGCTATCCTTCCCTACAGTGCACTTTAGGGAACTCTTGTGACTAGGAACTTGCTCTTTTCTGTCTGAGTATGTGAGTCTTGTAGTGGCTGTTCTTATCCATATTATGGGGTAATAAACCAGAAAGAACCACCTGCCATACAATTCTTTATAGTTGGCTTGAACCATGTTGGCCCTCTGGGATGAGTAACAGTCACAGATAGCTAAAGCCATGTCATCAATAACTTAAAGTGTCCGTGTCCTGGAAACAATTCATTTTGTCCAATTCTCACACCATCCTTGGAAGCCAGTGTTTTAGAGCTCACCTGTAGTGAACAATGAAGGAACATCTGTGCAGGCATGTTCTGTATTTTTACTTCTGTTGTTTTTGAAACAGGGTTTCACCATGTTGCCTGGCTGTCTGGGACTTGCTGTGTAGCCCAGGTTAGCCTCCAACTCAGAGCTCCACCCACCTCTGCCTCTGAATTCTCCTGCCTTTTAAAGAAATGCAATGTTTCACCTGGCATCCAGGAGTATTGTAGAGAGTCTTTTTTTTTTTTTTTTTTTTTTTTAATCAAAGCTGATTCTGGTTTAGGTTTAAATAAAATAATTATTGAAGCCAGGTGGCACACACCTTTAATCCTAGCACTCAGGAGGCAGAGGAAGGTGGCACTCTGTGAGTTCAAGGTCAGCCTGGGCTACATAGCAAATTCCAGGACAGGTTGGGCTATATAGAGAGACCACGTCTCAAAAAAACAACAAACAAAACAAACAAACAAAACCCACCAGAGTCTTTAACCCAGGCTAACATCAAATTCCCTATGGAACAGAGAATGATTGTTTGTTTGTTGATTTCCCAAGACAGGGTTTCTCTGTATAATAGCCTTGGCTGTCCTGGAACTCAGTCTATAGACCAGGCTAGCCTTGGACTCAACAGAGATCCACCTGCCTCTGCTGGGATTAAAGGCATGTGCCACCAGACCAGCCAGAGAATGATTCTGAGTTTAGAATGTTCCTGCTTCCACCTCTGGATGTTGGGATTACAAGTATGCCTCACCACACTCAGTTTAGCACACACTGAGAATGGAGCCCAAGGCAGTGCCCAAGACAAATGTGAAGCAACCCTGTCATCGTAGCATGTGGGAGATGGAGTGAAGAACAGAACGTCAGGAGTTCAAGGCCAGCCTTAGCTACACAGCCCCATACTGCCCTGTTAAACAGCAGAAGCAGCTGTTAGAGAGATGTCTCCACAGTTAAAAGCATTGGCTGCTCTTGCAGAGAGTTTAGCTCCCAGCACCTACGTAGTGGGTCAAAACTAATCTGTAAATCCAGTCCCAGAGGATCCGACTCCCTCCTCTGGCCTCCATGAGCACCAGACATACATGAGGACAAAGAACCCGTACACATAAGTAAAAAAATAAGCAAACTTTTAAAAGAGATTAACTAACAAATTCAAAAGATCAGTACCTTAGGTCTGGTTTTTGTTTTCTGTTTACTTTACTTTATTTTTGAGGTAGGGTCTCATGTAAGCCAGGTTAGCTTTAAAAGTTGCTGTGAAGCTAAACAAAGCTGGCTGTAAATGCTGTCACCTCCCAAGTGGTAAGGGATTGCAGTCGTGTGCCACCACACCCAGCGCTTTTGCTGATGTTGCCACCATTGTTACTTGTTGGCTGGCACTATCTTATGTGTATGGGTGTTTTGCCTGCATGCATGTAAGTGAAGCGAGTACCTATCTGATGTCTCCAGAGGGATGCGTCGGGTACTCTGGAACTAGTTAGAGATGGTTGTGAACCACCATATAGATGCTGGGAATGGAACCTGGATCTTCTGCAAAGACAGCCAGTGATCTTAACAAACCACTGGGCCATCTCCCCCAGCCCCCTTCCCTCCTTCCTTTTTAAAAAAGCACTAGCTCAAGAAATGAAGGTGGTTCCGATTAATTTCTGAAACAAGAACCCCTAACCCTCCATCCTTCTCTTAACCGGTATATCAAGTCAGTTTCTTAAACACAGTGGACTGGAACATCGTAACATACTGGAACCGCCTGGCACAGGGAGCTAAGACATTGTCAGGTTACATTGTGTGCAGACGGTGGTCCATGTGACAATGGTACAGACACTGCCTTACAGCACACAGCTCTCATTCCCACATGTAGGGACTACTACTCTAAGAGCTGCAGCTGTTAAGTAGTGGGTTGATAGTGAGGCTCTGGAACCCCAAGAAGGGAGTGTGGTGTCACCAGGTGTGTGGGAAGAAAGTATGCCACAACCGGAGGCTGCCTAAATAGGGTGTTGGCATTGCCTCTGATTGTGGTTGCTGTTCCCTTCTCTCATCCTAGGCCTCCCTGACCCCCGTGAAGTCTGGTGAACACAAGGACGAAGACAGGCCAAAGCCCAAAGACCGAATTGCCTCATGTCTGCTGGAGTCTTGGGGCAAGGGTGAAGGCCTGGGTTATGAGGGCCTGGGCCTTGGCATTGGACTGCGTGGTGCCATTCGCCTGCCTTCCTTCAAGGTCAAGAGGAAGGAGCCACCAGACACAGCCTCCTCTGGTGACCAGAAGCGGCTTCGGCCGTCAACATCTGTGGATGAGGAAGATGAAGGTTCGCGCTCTCGGTTGCTGGCTGGCTGTTTGTCCCTCTCCTTCCCATCTCCGCATCTCAGCTCTGACCCCTATTATTCCCACAGAGTCAGAACGGGAGCGTGACCGGGACATGACCGATACCCCATGTGAACTCGCCAAGCGGGACCCCAAAAGCGTGGGTGTGCGGCGCCGGCCAGCAAGGCCACTGGAGCTGGACAGTGGTGGGGAAGAGGATGAGAAAGAGTCCTTGTCCGTGTCCTCATCTTCATCAGCATCCTCATCCTCAGGATCTTCCTCCACCTCACCCTCATCCTCAGCCTCAGACAAGGAGGAGGAGGAACGAGAAAGCACTGAGGAGGAAGAGGAGGAGGAAGAGGAGGAGGAAGAAGGCCCCAAGAGCCACATATCCTCACCCTCATCCTCATCTACCTCTGATAAGGTCTGGATCAGGGAGACTGCTGGGTGCTGGGTGGGAAGCCGTGGACCTTAGCTCATCTGTATTCCTCTGACCCTGTACCCCAGGATGATGATGACGATGACAGTGACGACCAGATCGATTCTGATAATGATGATCAAGACACAGCCCTGTCAGAGGCGAGTGAGAAGGACAACGGAGACTCTGAGGAAGGTGAGCAGGGAGGCAGGCAGCCTGGCCCTGCCCCTAACTCGTCCTCCGCAGACAGGGGTGCAGTATCAGTCACTGATGCTCTGGGACCGATATTGGTGCTTTTCAGAGGTTTGCTCCTAATGTGTAATCAAATAGCAGAATGGACCAGTCCATAGACCCAGAGCATAGATCAGTGGGTTCCTAAGGCTGGGGGGAGGGGGGAGGAAGAAAGTGGGTGCTGCCCAAGTGGATGGCATCTGTCTATGGCAATGGAAGCCCTTGGGAACTAACTGAAGGAATGAACATTCCGAGTGGTTCTGGGATTCTTAACTCCCAAATGAAGAGTCTGGTGTTAATTTCACCTTGCACCTTTTATGGTGAGGACTGGTCTCCTCACCTTCAGTGTCTGACGCCTTGTGCAGAGGGCATCCTGTTCAAGGCCTTGGGAGAAATATATGGCATGGGGTAGTGCACCGTGGGCCGTGAAATAACCCTCCCGACCTGTGTCCCTCATCCAGAGGAGACGGAGAGCATCGCCGCCTCAAAGGCCACGCCTGGGTCATCATCATCCAGTGAAAGTTCTGGGTCTTCTGAGTTTGAATCCAGTTCCGAATCATCATCCTCGTCTTCATCCTCAGAGGATGAAGAGGAAATGACTGTCCCTGGGGAGGAGGAGGAAGAGGAGGAGGAAGAAGAAAAGAAGGAGACCGCCATGGCTACAGCAATGGTAGTGGCAATGGCCAATGAGAACACGCCTCCAGCAGGGGGCCAGGACCTTGAGCAGGAGAAGGTAGAAGTATCTCTGGGCCCAGGAGCCACCATGGGGGAGTCCTTGGTCACAGAAGAGGAAGCGGACACTGGGGCTGAGGACGAAGTCCCTGAGATGGAGGCTCCTGTGCTGGAGGAGCCTCCCTTGACTGTGGGTGCTCAGGAGCTAGAAGGGAGCACAAAGACCTCAGAAGAGCCCATGGAAAACACACAAGAGGACATGCTGCTCTCTCCAGAGCCCCCTGCCAGGGAGACAGAGGCCCAGCTCCCATCACCCCCTGAACATGGTCCAGGTAACCCTGCAGCCTCCTGGGTGGGAGTTAGGTGGGGCATGGGATGGAAAGCTGGGTGGTGTCTTTGCCACTAGAGCCTGCCCAGGTCCTCTGGAACGGCCCCAGCATATTCTCCTGGGTCACTGCTGGACTCACAAGTCTGTAACAAGATTCCCGCCAGGCCTTCAATCCCAGTGCTGAGGAGGTAGAGGCAGGGGGATTTCTTGTGAGTTCAAGACCTGTCTTGCCTATGGAGCGAGTTCCAGGACCCTCCACCAAAAAAAAAAAAAAAAAATCCCAAGGGTTATTCCTCAATCCATATGTCCCTGAGGCGCTCAGTGGGAACCCATGGTCAGTGTAGTAGCAGGCAGGTGGCTACCTACTGCAAAGCATGTGAAAGGCTCGTTGCTGGGGCATTGGTATGGAGTGCCAGCAGTGGTAGAAATAGTCTCTCTGCACTTGAACTACTAGACAGACACAATGTTACTACTGAGCCCTTGTGGGGGAATGGCTATTACTTAATTATAATTCATTTTCACATTTCAGAATATTTAACTTAGCCTCACATGGTTAGTATGTACCTTTATGAAATCCAGGAGAGCAAACTAGCTTTTGTTTAATATATGTCGTTTTACTGAGAACAGACCACAGGTCTGTGAATAGTAAGTCAATATGAAGGTTCTTTGGTTTCCGATACTGTTTTAGGCATTTTCAATACAACAGTAGATCAAATGGATAAAGATATCTGTCCTCATGAAGCACGTATTGTAGGCCAGAGTGACAGGGTTACAACAAATGCTCTAGAAAAATTAGATCCCAAAAGAGTAGAGATAAATGCCAGGGGACTCTATGAAAACTGACAAATGGCATAGAGGAGTCTTGAATTTTGTTTCACCATGGAGTGGGTTTTCTTGGACCCTAGGCACAAGGTAGAGTAGTTTTCTGCAATGCTGGGGTCCGGACCCAGGACCTCACACATGCCAGGCAAGTATTCTACCTCAAAACTGCACTCTAGCCACAAGAACATAGTGCTGAAGACGACATGGGGAAAACTAGCATTGTTCCCCGGTACCTAAGGAGCCTCTTCTGAGCCAGGTGGCTGTGGCGCACGCCTTTAATCCCAGCACTCCTGAGGCAGAGGCAGGTGGATCTTTGTGAGTTCGAGGCCAGCCTGGTCTACAGAGATCCAGGACAGCCAGGGCTGTTACACAGAGAGACCCTGTCTGGGGCGGGGGAGGGGGAAGGTGTCCCTTCCCAGTGCCTGACACTGGCCTGGTTCCCAAGATGCCTTGTTTAACTGTGTAGTGTCTGTGTGTTACATGCATAGTAGGACAATAAGATCAGGCTCTGAGTGGTGTTTGAATCAATGACGATGCCCTGTGTTTTGCCTGCCTCTCTACACAGAGGAAGACCTCCGGGAAGTGGAGCCCGAGCCGCCTCCGATGCTCTCCTTGCCCTTACAGCCACCATTGCCACCCCCTCGGTTACTCCGGCCACCCAGCCCACCACCTGAGCCTGAATCCCTAGAGCCCCCCAAACCTCCTGTTCCCCTGGATCCGCCCCCTGAGGACCAGCCTCCGCGTACTCCAGGTCTCTGTGGCAGTCTGGCCAAGTCACAGAGCACAGAGACAGTGCCAGCCACCCCAGGCGGGGAGCCCCCGCTGTCAGGGGGCAGCAGTGGCCTATCACTGAGCTCCCCACAGGTGCCTGGCAGCCCCTTCTCCTACCCATCCCCATCCCCTGGCTTGAGCAGTGGGGGCCTTCCTCGGACACCTGGCCGGGACTTCAGCTTCACCCCCACTTTCCCGGAGCCCAGTGGACCCTTGCTTCTACCTGTCTGTCCCCTCCCAACTGGTCGGAGAGATGAGCGCTCTGGTCCCCTGACCTCCCCAGTGCTCTTGGAGACCGGCCTGCCCCTCCCACTTCCCCTGCCTCTGCCCTTGCCTCTGGCATTACCTGTCCCTGTCTTAAGGGCCCCACCTCGGCCACCTACCCAGCTGCCTCCCCTGCTGCCTGCCTCCCTAGCTCCGTGCCCACCCCCCATCAAGAGGAAGCCAGGCCGGCCCCGGCGATCCCCACCATCTATGTTGTCCTTGGATGGACCTCTGGTCCGGCCACCACCAGGGCCTGCCCTTGGGAGGGACCTTCTGCTCTTGTCAGGCCAGCCACAGGCCCCCATCTTTCCCAGTGCACATGACCCTCGGGCCGTGACTTTGGACTTCCGGAACACAGGGATTCCAGCCCCCCCACCGCCCCTCCCACCGCAGCCCCCTCCCCCTCCCCCTCCACCACCTGTTGAACCCACCAAGCTGCCCTTCAAGGAGCTGGACAACCAGTGGCCCTCTGAGGCCATTCCCCCAGGACCTCGCCGCGATGAGGTCACTGAAGAGTACATGGACCTGGCCAAGGTGCGAGGACCATGGCGACGACCACCCAAGAAGCGCCATGAAGACCTGGTGGCCCCATCAGCCTCACCCGAGCCCTCACCGCCCCAGCCTCTCTTCCGGCCCCGCTCAGAGTTTGAGGAGATGACCATCTTGTATGACATCTGGAATGGTGGCATTGACGAGGAGGACATCCGCTTCTTGTGTGTCACCTACGAGCGCCTGTTGCAGCAGGACAATGGCATGGACTGGCTGAACGACACGCTCTGGGTCTACCATCCCTATATCCTGCCAGGTTTGGGGTCCATGTCCTTCAGAAGCAGAAGTCCCTCTAGGCATATCGCCCTGTGTGTAGCAATCACAGTACCAGGGAGGTAATAGTATAGGCCTCGCCACGTATCAGGCGGTGGTCATGCCAGGCCTGTCTCACTCCCAGAGGTAATGGTCTCAGGTCCAAATATAGGATGAGGATTATAGAACTTAGCAATAGAGGAGACTGGCCTAGGCTCCTCCAGCCTTTCTCTGCCTGGCTTGAATTGAACCCCAGGTGGCCCAGTAATATACAAGGTAGTTAGTCATTTCATTTTTCACAGGAAGAAACTGAGATTCAGAGAGGCCTGCCCAAAGTCAGACAGCTACCAAGTGGCAGGGCTGAGCTTTGAAGACAAAGCTGTCTCCACAACGCTGCTCTTTGCTATACGGTCCTGAAGCCAGTTTGTTACCATGCCACTGAGAATGGCACTGTCACCGGGCATTGGTGGCACATGCCTTTAATCACAGCACTCGGGAGGCAGAGCCAGGTGGATCTCTTGTGAGTTAGATGGCAGCCTGGTCTACGGCTAGTTCCAGGACAGGCTCCAAAGCAATACAGAGAAACCCTGTCTCAAAAAACCAAAAAGAAAAAAAAAAAAAAAAAAAAAAAATGGCCATTGTCCATACTTATCCGGTCATTTGCTGTCTCAGGAGCTCTGCCAGAGTACTGAGTATACTGACCTCCTCCTATGCATCCTTGCGCTATTTCTAGGTGAGAAACAGGCAGAAAGTAGTAATTAAAAACATGCTCAGTGTTATGCACCTAGGGGCAGCATCATCAGTAGAGTTAGCTGAGGTGGCGTTGAAGTGGGTGGTGGACCGGGACATCGTTACCCCGTGAGCTGGGACTGTGGCTGGGGAAGCTGGGTGAGGGACCAGAGGGGGACTTCTGAGAATGTCCATGTGGCCCTTGACCGACACCCACCCACCAGCCTCTCGTCAGCGAAGAAAAAGAAACGAGACGATGGCATCCGAGAGCATGTAACAGGCTGCGCCCGAAGTGAGGGCTTCTACACCATTGACAAGAAAGACAAGCTGAGATACCTCAACAGCAGCCGAGCGAGCACTGATGAGCCCCCCATGGACACCCAGGTACTGTGAGTGGGGCCTGTATGAGCCTGGGCTGAGTCAGGTTGGAGCATTCCCGGTGGAGGTTCCCGGCAGGGGCTCAGACAGCATCGTCCTTCCATCCCACAGTTGGGCTGGGGAAGTAGAGGCTCAACAGTTCTAGGATACTCTAGGCTACATAGGGAGACTCAGAATTTAAAAACCAAACCCCTTTTTATTTTGCGGGTAGTGGAGAGCCCCAAATGGTTTTAATCTTAGACATAAATGCAGTTCCAGAAAGTTAAGGCCCCACCCCACCCCCAATTCTCTCTCTGTATTCAGTACATACCTATCGAGTACCTCTTGTGTTCAGGGGCTGCATCAGTGAACAAAACAAAGGGTTTTTTTTCTCCCCTCATGCTGTGGGATGAGCTTTCAAGTGAATATACATCGTCATGAATAAATGCCATGGATAAGAGGGAGGTTAGCAAGTCTGAGGGTCACGTAGGATCTGAGGGAGGAGGCCACATAGACTGTCAGTCAGACCACTGAGAAGAAGAGTTCCTTAAGGCAGGGAGGGACTCAGCTGTGACAAAGAAAAAGCAAAAGCATTTCAAAACATTGGTAGGGCCTGCTGGTGCAGTGCACGCCTTTAATCCCAGCACTCAGGAGGCAGAGGCAGGCAGGTCTCTGTGAGTTCGAGGCCAGCCTGGTCTACAGAGCGAGTTCCAGGACAGCCAGGGTACACAGAGAAGCCCTGTCTTGAAAAACCACTGAAGTCAAAGATGCTCAAAGCCAGGAGGTGTGGGGACAGAGCTGGGGAGGACGTGATGTGACAGGGTCCAGTCTGTCCCCTTCTGATTTGTCATCGGGTCGTGCCAGCAGGGTATGAGCATCCCAGCACAGCCCCACGCCTCCACCCGGGCAGGCTCGGAGCGGCGCTCTGAGCAACGGCGGCTGCTGTCCTCCTTCACTGGTAGCTGCGACAGTGACCTGCTCAAGTTCAACCAGCTCAAGGTGAGGCTAGACCTTCTCTGGGACAGCCATGTCAGCAGTGGGAGCTGAAGGGGGGGGACTCACCCCTCTTGTCCTTCCCTCCCCTAGTTCCGGAAGAAAAAGCTTAAGTTCTGTAAGAGTCACATCCATGACTGGGGTCTGTTTGCTATGGAGCCCATTGCTGCCGATGAGATGGTCATTGAGTACGTGGGCCAGAACATCCGTCAAGTAGGTGCTGCCCAGGGCACTGGTGAGGGGCGGTGGGGGATGGAGCAGGCCAGGACTTAACGGTTTTCTGCGGCTAGGTGATTGCGGACATGCGGGAGAAACGGTATGAGGACGAAGGCATTGGCAGCAGCTATATGTTCAGGGTAGACCATGACACCATCATCGATGCCACCAAGTGCGGCAACTTTGCGCGATTCATTAACCACAGCTGCAATGTAAGTGCCCAGTGAGGGGCTGGGATGACCCCTCCTCTGTGCTAGGAACCCAGGCTCCAGGGGACCAGAGGTGACAGGGAGGGAGGGGATAAGAGGTCTGTACGAAGAGCTTTTCTCCTGACCTCCATTGTTTTCTGTACAATGAGTGCAGTGGGGATTCTGGCGTCATAGGAAAGACTTGAAGTGCTCAAAAGGTGGCCTGAGGGCGCATGCCTTTAAACTCAGCAGAAGCAGGTGGATTTCTGTGAGCTAGAGGCCAGCCTTGGCTGTGTGGTGAGTTCTGGGCCAGCCAGGACTACACATAATGTGATCCAATTTCATCAGTTGGTAAATTGGTTGCCTCAAAAGCACAGGGACCCAGGGTCAATCCCCCAGAACCTATGTTAAACAGGTGTGGCACACGCCTTTAATCCCAGTACTCTGGAGGCAGAGGCAGGCTGATCTTGAGTTTGAGGTTGGCCTAGTCTACAGAGAGAGTGCCAGGAGAGGTTCCAAAAACAATACAGAGAAACCCTGTCTCGAAAAACCAAAAAAATAAAATAAAATTTAAATAAAGGTGTGATATAATGCCAATGCTGGGGAGGTGGAGGCAGAAAGATTCCTGGAGCTCATTGGTCAACCAGCACAGCTAATTTGTTGAGCCCCAGACTAGTGGGAGACTACTGTAGCTGCCCAGGTGAGTGATGGCAGGGATCGCCAGGAGTAGGGACAGCATTGATTGATGAAATCAGGGCTTGGGGAGAAGTCTGTAAATAGTTTAGACTTCAGGCCCCTGGTGAACATGATGACTGACCTCTATAGTAACTATCTTAGTCCTCAAACAAAAGCAGCCTCAAGTGATATGCAAATGAGGAAGGTGACTGCCAGTAGAACTTCCTTTACTGAAGTAGGTGACTAGGGCCTGCAGTTTAGAGACCTCTTGTCTGGGCCTCAGAAATAACACCTGCCTACAAGTACAGATTTAGGCATCTCCTGCAGGATGTCTGATGGGAAATTATTGTCATCTTTAAAGATTTGTTTGTTTGTTTGTTTGTTTGGTGTGTATGGGCGTTTCACCAACCTGTATGTATATGAGCCGCATGTGTGTGGTACCCAGAGAAGCCAGAAGAGGGAGCCAGATCCCTTGAAACTGGATGGTTGTGAGCAGCCATGTGGGGGCACAGAACCTGTTGTAGGTCCTATGCAGGAGTAGTAAGTGTTCTTAACCACTGAGCCATCTCTCTAGCCGCTCATCGCTTTTATTTAATATCAGGCATGGGAGACTCTAACTGGAGAGCTGAGCCTGAAGCAGGTGACCACAAGTCAGGCTTAGTTGGGTTTGGGGTAGCTGCATGGTGAGAACGGGGTAGGTTTCCGGTCCCTCGCTCACCACACCACCACCTCTCCTGCAGCCCAACTGCTACGCCAAGGTGATCACAGTGGAGTCGCAGAAGAAGATTGTCATCTACTCGAAGCAGCACATCAATGTCAACGAGGAGATCACATACGACTACAAGTTCCCCATCGAGGACGTCAAGATCCCCTGCCTCTGTGGCTCTGAGAACTGCCGGGGGACCCTTAACTAGTCCCCGGGTGCCAAAGGCCAAGGATGTCAGCCGTAGCCCGGGAGGACCCTCGCCCTGGGCCAGGCTCCGCCGCCCACCCATTTCAGGTGCTGTCCCTTTCCCCCAGCAGCCACGCTAGGGCCTGGCGCCCCCCAACACTACCCCAGGACCCACCCGCAGCCCCAGCCCCGCAGCGGGAAAGGGCTTCTCTGTCTCAGCCGTGTCTTTCCATTTTAAAGATGCTCTTTGCAGGCTTTCTGGCCTCATCTGTATCTAGCTTTTCACCCCCCTCCTCTCTCGCTGTCCTCGGCCTCAGCCTTTTTCCATGAATGCTGCTGTTGTGCGCTGTCTTCTCTCTCTCTCTCTCTCTCTCTCTCTCGCTCTCTCCCTCTCCCTCTCTCTCTTTCTCTTTCGCCTCTTTTCCCTTGTCCTAAGAAAAGACATTTTAACCATTGAAAATGTGAAGGCAGAAGCAGAGGAGGAGCCCTGTGGGGTCCTGGAGGCCTCAGTGAAACTGTGTGGGCCCAGGGTCCAGGCTGACTCCGGGCCAGGTGCTGCAGGAAGAGGGTTTCCAGCGGTGTCAACCTCAGAACACTACGTACCCGAAAGGCCCCTCTGCCTGTGGATGCAGTGAGCAGACCCTACAGTGTCTCCTGGCCAGTTCCCCAGTCTGTCCCTTCCCCTATGGTTGAGGGTGTCCCTTCCCTGAGGTAGACCCCGGGGGAGCCAAGCTGATCCCAGACAGGAACTTTCTGGGTGCTCCCAGCTGCCCTACCACCCCCAAATCCTTGGGTTCAATGTTTACTTTCTCATTCGGATGCCAGCAATGATGGAACCTTCCAAGGTGTCCCCAGAGCGGTGGGGGAACTGGGAAGGGGTATCTCCACTCTCTGCCACCTCGGCTTTGCCTGGGTGCAGGGGTGCCAGGGCCCTCGGGGCTCCCCAGCCAGCCCTGCCATTTACGGGTTGTCTGACTGTAGCACGTGACATTTTTTTGTTGTTGATAAGCTTTGCCCCCTTCACCCCAACCCACACCCATGCCACCCTGCTGGCGGCCCCCACCTGGGAGGCCAGAGCGTATTTATTTCTACAGTGAGCAGGTTTTTTTTCTCCCAGAGAAAGTAAAATAGTCTTGGAAATGATTTTAAAACTCCAATCTAAGTCTTAGGTCGCTCCGGCCCCCACCCTACTCTCTATCCCCACCCTCTTCAGGATTGATTTCCATGAATTTGTTTTCTTGTGTATAAAATCAAAACGAAGGGAAGAAAATGATTTTTTTTGGGGGGGGAGTTCAGAACCAATTCCTGTAGATAGACTGCCATGATGGACTTTTTCTCAGAAACCTTGTTTCTTGTAGAAACGTGGGAAGACATTTTTTTTTTTCCTTATTTCTTTGTACTTCCAAAAAAAAAAAAAAAAAAAAAAAAAAAGGCAAGCCAACCACCACCACCACCAATGAAACAAAAAAATGACACAAACAGCAAGTCCCCCGTTCCCCCAGAAAGCAGAGCAGGCATGTAAATATTTCTGGACCGTGACTGTTGGACCCGGAGTCCTCATCCAGATGAAAGTGCTCCGGGTGGGGCCGACCTCACCCGTGGACCAGGGCGGAGCCTCTGGTATCTCAGCTTGTGTCAAGCTTCTTATATGTAAATTCTGTACAAAGAATTGTTATTCTCTCTCTCTCTCTCTCTCTCTCTCTCTCTCTCTCTCTCTCTCTCTCTCTCTCTGTCGTTGGTGGTTTTGTTGTGGTTTTTTTTTTTTTTTAATTCTCCACAGGCCCTCTGTGTTTGAGACTGTGCCCACAGGTCTGAAGGTCAAGACCTTCAGTGGCATTAAGACACAGGGGATGCCTGGGCACAGCGTCGACCTTCTCTTCCATTTACTGTTTTCTGCATAATTGCGCAAATGAGAAAAATATTTATTTTTCACAAAAGGAAATGTGTAGTGTGTAGAGATGGCTAATTTGAGTTCCTGGTGCAGTCACACACACACCCCTGACTAGTGGTTTTTATCTTACCTGCTTTCATCCCCCACAAAAGGGTAAGGATGAGGATGCCCAGAAGCCAAGGAAGAACTTCCGGGTCCCTGGCCCTGCCTCATTGAGCCCCATCATGGGACCTGTGTACACTAACCTTGGCTGACTTTGATGATGGGTGAGGTGTTGAGGCTGCCCGATTCCCCAAACCCCTGGCTCACTCCCAGGAATGGTTTGCAATAACCCTGACATGTGGACCCATTTTTCTTTGAAAGCTTTTGTTATCGTCGAGTAAGATCTCTGCTTTTGAAGGGTCAGGGGTTTCTGATTTTTTTCCTTTTCTCTCCCCCCCCCCCCTTGCTGACCTTAAAAAGAGAACCAATAAATCTTAGGGTTGTCTGTGAGTGTAGACTCTGTCATCTGTACGTAACTTGTTTTTGAAGAGAAGTGTTTCCGTTGTGGGTGTGTCTTGCTGTAAATATTTGTTCATATTTTTGTGAATTCAATACTATGTACCATTGTATTATAGTAACTTTTATAAAGCAAACCATAAATATACTGACTTTTCTTACAGATACGCCGTCTCTCTTGCTCTGCCCCTTCTCCCTGTTGAAAGGGCACCCTGTCCATAAGGAGGGTGGGTTGGCCAGGCCCAGGAACTCGGAGGGTGTGGTGGGTTTGTTTGCTTTTGAGATTATTTTACTCTCTAGCCCAGTCTAGCCTCAGCCTGTTGAAATGCTGGGGTTGTAATTGGGAGCTACTAGCCCAGGCTGTCTATACTTACTCTCCACTTGATTTAAGGCTTGGGGGACAGTGGCCGGCTCTCAATTCTGAAGCTCTCCACATGGGTTCTGAACCAGGTGTGCCTGTGGCCAAGTTAGACTTCCACTTGGTTGTTTTTTTTTAAAGAGGATTTTTTAAAATTATATATATATATGTATGTAATTTAAGCAAAATTCAGTGCCATAGACCTGTCATTCCAGCTACTAGAGGCTGAGGCAGGAGGGCCACAAGTTCAAGGCCTGGGCTATGGAGTGGCAACACACTCAGTAATCCCAGCACTTGGGATGCAGGCAGGGGTTGCCAAGAGTTCTAGGCCTGCCAGTAAAGCCTGCTGCATACTGAGCGTTGGTGGTACAAGCTTTTAGTCCCAGCACTCGGGAGGCAGAGGCAGGCAGATCTCTGAGTTCCAGACCAGTCTGATCTACAAGAGCTAGTTCCAGGACAGCCTCCAAAGCAACAGAGAAACCCTGTCTCAGAAAAAAAAATCTTGCTGTACAGAAAACAGGGCTGGGGGTGGGTGGGTGGGATGGAGATGGCTCAGGATGTCAAAAAAACCTAAGTGGGATAATGGTATATAACATGAGTTCAGCCCTTGGAACCTATAGTGGAAGCAGAGAGCCGGCTCCTGAGTTGCCCTCTGAATTCACATGTGCAGTTGGCATGTGCTTGAGTGCACTCACACATGTCACACACACAATAACAATTAAAAAAAAAAAAAAACCTATGCGTAAAGCCAAGCAAGGTGATTCATGCCTGGAAGTCCAGCACTGGGAGGGCAGGAGTTCAAGGCCAGCCTGAGCTACATCCTAAGATGCTGTCTTAAAAAAAAAAAAAAATGAAACCATTTACATGCACTGGCCACTGTTTTAAGTACATTTGCTGTAAGAGCTATAGCATGCTAGGGGATAAATATTTGCTCCAGTCACTAGATGAGGCAAGAGGCACTGAGAAGCAGCATATCCAAGGTCATCTAGGTAGCAAGGAGCTGGTGTAGGACGTGAGCCCTAGCAGTCCAAGCCTGCTTAGGAGTGTTAGTTACATGGGGGCGTCCGTGACTTCGTACCAAGGCATGACCAAAGATAAGGGTGTCTGTGAAGACTCAAGCAGGGCATGATGGCACATGCATTTAATTCCAGCATCTGAGAGGCCAAAGCAGCTGGATTTCTGAGTGTCAGGGAAGCCTGGTCTACATAGAAGGTTGCTGGGCAACCAGGAACTGTCTCAAAACAACGACTGAAAAGAAAACAACAACAAATATTGACTCATTTGTCTAAAATCATACAGACAAAATACGTCCAGATGTGGCCCACAAGCTATGGGTTTGCAGCCCTCTGTGCTAGAGAACTTCTCTTTTTGCATGAGCCATGGAAATGGGGAGAGAGGGTGTTTGCATTGGCTGCAGCCTGATCCTCTTCGTTTTTCTCTCTCATCTTTTGTTTTTGTTTTGCTTTGTGAGTCTCAGCACGTCACGGAAGCTGTCCTCAAACTTCTGATCCTCCTGCCTCAGTCTCTGGAGTGCTGGGATTACAAGTATATACCACCACATCCAGTTTATTCTTTCTACTTCTTAGTTCACGATCTTAGAAGCCCTGATCATTTCTTCTAATTGGAAGAAACAAAAACCAAAGCTGAAGCTATGGAAATTTTCCCCCATGATACTAAGACCATCTTAGATTTTTTTTTTATTATTATTCCTACAGAGATCAAAGTGTGCCACACACGTTTGATTCCCAACCATTTGGGAGGTGGAGGCAGAGGCAAGCAGGCTAGCCTGGTCTACATAGCAAGTTCCAGGACAGCCTGGGATACATAGAGAAACACCTCCACCTCCCCCAATCTCAAAATAAAGTGAGCCCAATTTGAAGTTGATTTGTGTTCAGGAAAGTTGTCAGACTAAAGCAAAAAGAAAAGGAACCAAAGTCCACCCCAGTCTGGTTTTTTGTTTGTTTTCCAGCACTGGGGATAGAACCTCTGTGTGACAGGGTATGCTCTGCCACTCAGCTGCACCCCAGGGTTTTGAAGAAAAAAAATCCAGTAGATTTTGGGCCATTAGCTCCTTCCCCAGTTGCCTCATCAAAGGCATGGGGAGATGCAGCTGCATTGGGTTTTGGAGCACTGGCGACAGCCATGATCAGGGTACGGGGACAGGTGAGGGGTTCAGATTGGACTCTATCACAGACCAGGAACCATGTCCTGTGATTGCTAAGGAAGGGTGTCACCCCCAAAGTCCCTTGACCCCCCTTCATGTGCTCCTGTGTTCGAGTGACGACACCGAGGAGGGTGTCTGTAAAGGTTTTTAAGCCATTAGGACCTTGTCTGTGATTTGCTCCTTCTAAGACCTTTCCTGCATTAGACATTCACTGGACTCAACTCCACCACCCGCCTTCCTGTCTCAGTGCATTCATTGCTCTTTAAAACGGTATTATTGCTTTGCCTCTATAATGTATGTCCCTTGTTTCTAGTTCCACAAGTTCGTCCTGTCATTAGGGTCCCACTTAGCAAAGTTCCCGCCCCCCTGCACCTGCCGCTCAGCACACAGAATCCTCAGGCAGCTCAGCGGTCTTGGTCTCCCCCTGGCGTCGAAGTGGTGCCACTACTCCTGGCCGGACGCAAACACAAGACACAGCTTTGGACCTGGTTGGGTGGCTTTACTCATCAGGAAGGAACAGGCAAGGTGGGACCCTTGCAGTTGAGGGGGCGTGGCCATGACATGAGTGGAACCCTGTGGTTGTCCCTTAAACGTCAGAAGACTGATGTACCCAGCACCTTGCATGATGTGGGTGTGAGCGAGCGGGACCTACATTCCCGACCTCACCCCATTGGTCTCTATGTCGGTGAGGTTGCCTCGTAGGGCTTGTTCCTCCTCGAAAGCCTTGAACAGGGAGTTGAAATTGCCTGCTCCGAACCCCTGTGGTGATGGAAAGCAAGAATGAGGTGCGTACCTAGCAAGTAACCCGTGTTTCCCTTTAGGTGCGGTCTTACCTGGTGGTTGTGGCGCTGAATGACTTCCAGGAAGAGTGTGGGTCGATCCTGCATGGGCTTGGTGAAGATCTGTAGGAGGTAGCCTTTCTCATCATAGTCTACCAGGATTTTCAGCTCCTGAGAGGGAGAGTGGACTCTGTTAGAGGAAGGCCCACTTGCCCTTGTAGGGCCCAAGTTCAGTTCCCAACACCCACATCAGGCAGCTTACAACCAACCACCTGCAATTCCAACCTCCTTGGCCACCTTCAGGAGCAAACACCCACATACAGACACATGCAACACATTAAAACAAAACAAAACAAAAAACCCACATCTTTTTTGTTTGTTTGCCTTTTATTGTTTGCTTTTTGTTTTGTTTATTTTTGAGACTGTTTCTCTGTGCAGCCCTGGCTGTCCTGGAACTCACTCTGTAGACCAGGCTGGTCTTGAACTCAGAGCTCTCTACCAGTCTCTGTCTTCCCAGGTGATAGGATTAAAGTCATGGATCAGCTGTGTGACTATCATTTTTTAAAATAATTTAAAAAATGTCTTTGTTCCATGTGTAAGGTGCTGTATCTGGATGTATACCTTCATGCCAGACAAGGACATTAGATCCAAGTATAGATGGTTGTGAGCCACCATCAGTTGATGGGAACTGAACTCAGGACCTCTGGAAGAACTGCTAGTGCTCTTAACCACTGAGCCATCTTTCCAGCCCCAAAGATAGTGGTGCACATCTGGTCTATAAAGTGAATTATAGGACAGCCAGAGCTGTTACACAGAGAAAACCCTGTCTTGGAGAAACAAAAATCAAACAAACAAAGCTGGGCATTGGGCGTTGGTGGCGTACGCCTTTAATCCCAGCACTCGGGAGGCAGAGGCAGGAGGATCTCTGTGAGTTTGAGTTCAGCCTGGTCTACAGAGCTAGTTCCAGGACAGGCTCCAAAGCTACACAAAGAAACCTTGTCTTGGAAAAAAAAATCAATCAAACAAAAAAGCCCCACAAATCTTAAAAAAGAAAGAAAAGGAAGCACAGAAAGTCACCACAATAAGCTCTGGGTTTGATTGAGAGACCCTGCCTCAGTGAATAAGGCGAAAAGTGATGAGGATGATTTCCAACATCAACCTCAGGCCTCCACATGCTGACACACACCCACACTCACAACTGTGGCTCATACATGCAAGTGTGCACATATGTGTACATTCCATGGGGTAGGGGAGGGAGAGAGATGAAAATTTTTAAAGTTATAAAAATACAAACAGGTCCTGGCCTTTGGTGGCACTCGGGAGGCAGAGGCAGGTGGATCTTTGTGAGTTCAAGACCAGCCTGGTCTACAAGAACTAGTTTCAGGACATCTTCCAAAGCCCCCCCCACACACACACACTGGGCTGAAGTGGTGCATGCCTTTAATCCCAGGACCAGGGAGGCAGATCTCTGAGTTTGAGGCCAGTTTGGCCTATATAGCTAATTCCAGGATAGCCAGGGCTACACAGAGAAACCCTGTCTCGGAAAACAAAAACAAAACAAAATTAAAAAAAAAAATCCATCATCAAAAAACTGGCTCCTGCCAACCCACCTGCCAACAGCCTTCCTTCTGTCCTTCACACACTTGGAGACTGCCTGTTTCGGGCCCTTTGCATCTCTCTCTCTCTCTCTCTCTCTCTCTCTCTCTCTCTCTCTCTCTCTCTGCCCAGCCCTTCACGTGACCAGAACCTTCTCGAATAGATTTCAGTTAAAGTTGCCAATTCCGAGAGGCCTTCCCTGGCTACTCCCCGCAAAGCAGCCTCAGGAGAGTCTGTTCTCACTCCCTGCGTGTTGCCAACTCTTCCTCTCGCCTCTGACACCCCCCTCCCACACCTCAGTATGCTGCATGGGATCTGGTCAGGGTTTTCGCTGTGTGTATGGCCCAGGGGACTCATGGTTCGTGTTTTCTAGCTAAGCACGGGTCCTGCTCACCTCCAGCACGTCCAAGTTCTCCTTCACCTGGATCTTGGCTGTCTTGAGATTTTCCCGCAGCAGCTTGTAGTAAGAAGCCGGAACAGCCAAAAACTCCATGCCTCGCTCCCTCAAGTGGCGGATCTGTCACAGAGCAAGGTCAGGGTCATCCTGTTTGCCTAAGCTCAGGAGCTGACAGGGCAGGAGGTGGCGGGGTCCCTGTCCAAGCTCCTCTGCCAGGATGCTATGTGACCTCCTCCCTATGTCTGAGCTCTCCATGGAGTAGCCGAGATTGTTCTCACATAAAGTGTGCTCTGCGTGGGCCCGCCTCTCTGTGTACTGCTAGGGAAGCTGAGGCAGGAGGATATCTGTGTTTGTTGCAGCATAGCAGCTGGATGGTTTAGGTAGATATAAAACAAGTGTGTCACTTCTCTGCTTAACCCACGATGATGTCACAGTCAAAATTCAAAGTCCCAGCCATAGTCCTTTCCCACCTTTTCCTGTCCCCCTCCCTCGTTCTGTCCCAGCACGCATTTCTCCTCGCTGCTTCTGCAACCTTCCTGGCTTTTCATCTCTGCCTCAGTGGTCCTTTCTGTCTGGGGTATGTCTCCACTTCTCAAATGCCTCCTCCTCCCCATGGCCCTCTGTCCTGGCTGGGTTAGGTCAACTTGACACACCCCTTCCTCATCAGAGAGGAAGGAGCCTCAATTGAGAAAATGCCTCCAGAAGATTGGGCTGTGAGCAACCCTGTAGGACATTTTCTTAATTGGTGACGGAGGTGGGAGGGCCCAGCCCATGGTGGGCAGCGCCATCCCCTGGGCTGCCGGTCCAGAGTTCTATAAGAAAGCAGTCTGATGCCTGGCGGTGGTGGTTCACGGCTTTAATTCTAGCACTCAGGGGGCAGAGGCAGGCAGCTCTCTGTGAGTTCAAGGCCAGCCAGTTGCAGGACAGCCTCCAAAGCTACAGAGGAACCCTGTCTCAAAAAACAAAAAAAGACAAGAAAGAAAGAAGAAAGAAAGCAGTCTGAGCAAGCCATGAGGAGCAAACTAGTGAGCCACACCTCTCTAAGGCCTCTGCATCAGCTCCTGCCTCCAGGTTCCTGCCCTGCCTTCCTTCAGTGATGGACTGAGATGTGGACATGTAAGCCAAACATACCCTTCCCTTCCCAAGTTGCTTTGGCCCTGGCGTTCCACCACAGCAATGGAGACCCTGATGGGACACCCTCGTTGATTGCCCTATTTAGATGTGCCATGACTTATCTTCCACTCTCTCACTTCCTAACTTTGTCCCACAGCTCTCACACTGACCCGTTGGGCCAGGACTGAACTAGCCCTTCCTTAAGGACTAGCTAGGCACTGGCCTGCTTGAAGGCTGCGTCCATAGGCAAAGCATGCTTAATTTGGCTAGAAGGTCCATAAGTGGTCTTATCATCTAATATTCTTTTCTTTCTTTCTTTTTGTTTTGTTTTGTTTTTCAAGACAGAGAAACTCTCTGTGTAGCCTTGGCTGTCTCATTCTGTAGACCAGGTTGGCCTTGAACTCATTGAGATTCGCCTGCTTCTGCTGGGATTAAAGGTGCACTATCACCTCCCAGCTAATGTATTTTTAGAGTGAGGCACATTGAAGCTCAGAGAGGACACGGAAACACTGAATTCCCTGAGGTATGCAGTAAATTAGGACTGGAGCCCAGGCTTTCTTACACTTGGGACTGCATTTTTCTGCAGAATTAACTGTTTTGTTTTGTTTTTTGAGACAGGGTTTCTCTGTGGCTTTGGAGCCTGTCCTGGAACTAGCTCTGTAGACCAGGCTGGCCTCAAACTCACAGAGATCTGCCTGCCTCTGCTTCCCGAGTGCTGGGATTAAAGCCATGCACCACCACCACCCGGTGCAGAATGAACTCTTCATCACAGGGGTCAAGGGTAACTAACTCTGTGAGTTGCATGATCTGGAAGGAAAGCCCTGTCATCCTCCCAGAGGGACTGCCACCACCCACTCCTACTCTATTTGGCAGAGACTGTTCCGGCCTCAGATAGAGGGGCCGCACGGATCAGGAACAGGGATCTATCTTACCGTTGTGATAATATCTTCCGTCTTGAGAGCGATGTGCTGGACGCCGGCACCCCCATTATAGTCCACATATTCCTGAATCTGAGACTTTTTCTTGCCCGGCGCTGGCTCATTAATGGGCATCTTGATGGACTCCTCATAGTTGGCCACCACGATGGAGCGCAGAGAGCTATATTCCGTGTGCACCTGCGTGTCATCCACGGACCAGAAACGGTGGAACTGCAAGTTTTTCAGGTACCTGCAGAGTGGCGGCCAGGGGACACACCCCTTGAGTGCCTGCCCAGACCCACTTGCTCTCTTCCCGCCTCCACCAGTGAGCATACGTCCCTTAAGCAGTCCCCAAACTGTAACATCACACACATCATAGATTTGTTCTTTTGATAATATTCTTCCAAGAGGATGGGAAGGGTTTTGTAAAAAAAAATGTAGATGGGAAGCGATGCTTCCAACAGAGTGTCAGGAGCTTGCTTCTCATTTAGGTGAGGGTGATGTTGGTGCAATCCTATGGCTCGAATGTGTTCCCCAAACTCATTTAATTGGCACTGAGATGTTTTGAAGAGCTGGGACCCTTAAAGGGCTGGGCTGTAGCTTAGTGAAATGTTGCAGAATATTCCTTTACTCTGTGTGAAGATGTGTCACTGTGATTGGTTTAATAAAGAGCTGAATGGCCAGTAACTAGGCAGGAAGAGCCAGCCAGATGCAGAGGAAGTAGGACCTGCAGGAGGACAGGTAAAAGCCACGAGCCACGTGAAGCATGTGTGGATTAATAGGAATGGGTTCATTTAAGTTATAAGGGCTGCTGGGGATCTCTGTGAGTTCCAGGCCAGCCTGGTCTTCAAAAAAAGTTTCAGGACAGTCTCCAAACCTACAGAGAAACCCTGTCTCGAAAAACAAAAACAAACAAAAAAGAGCTGGTGGTGCACGCCTTTAATCCCAGCACTCGGGAGGCAGAGGCAGGAGGATCTCTGTGAGTTTGAGGTCAGTCTGGTCTACAAAGCTAGTTCCAGAACCAGGTCCCAAAGCAATACAGAGAAACCCTGTCTCAAACAAACAAACAAACAAACAAACAAAAGTTATAAGAGCTGTAAGAGCTAGTTAGAAACAAGCCTAAGCTAAAGCCAAGCTTTCATGATTAATAATAAGCCTCTGTATCATGATTTGGGGGCTGGCAGTCCAAATAAGCCTGCTACCTTGCTAGAGTGCTTTTGTATCTAGCTCAGCTGGACCATGTTAATGTCCCAGGTTAAATAGGTTATTGTTGCCAGGTGGAGCACTACCTTTAATCCCAGCACTGGGGAGGCCAGCCTAGTCTACAAAGTGAGTTCCAGGACAGCCCGGGATATATAGAGAGACCCTGTCTCAAAGAAACAAGCAATAAATAATATGTAAGTGGGTTTGGTTTTTCCTCCTCATATGTAGGTCTGTCTCCCATCTCCATTTTCTCCCCTGCTGTGGCCTCGTGCAATAATAATAAACAATAGCACATAGGCGGACTCAGGTAGGAAGCAGCACTCCTTGATGAAGGTGAGGCATGAATCTGTAACCTCAGTTCCGTCGCCCACTACCTGTATCCTACTTTCCACTCCCGTCAAAGAACTGGGGAGCTGAGGGCTGGGGAGAGCTCTCAGTGAATAAAAAGCATTTGCCACCAAGCCTGGTAGGGCTCGTCCCTGGGACCTGAGTGACAGAAGCAAAGAATCAACTTTTTCAATTTTATTTATTCACTTATTTATTTATTTTGAGAAAGGGTTCCTCTCTAACAGCACTGGCTGTCCTGGAACTCTCACAGAGGTCTGCCTGCCTCTGCCTCCCCAGTGCTAGGATTAAAGCTTGTGCTACTCCTGTGTAGCTGAGAATCACCTCTTACCAGTTATCCTCTGGCCTCTACACATGTGCTGTGGGATGTATGTGTCCCCACACATAAAAAATAAAAATATTAACAATAAATAAGTAGATCCCGCAGAGTGCGGCCGGCCAGGGACTCACCATTCCGAGGCAGACATCATTTCCTGGTCGGGTTGGTTGCCTACAATATGGTCAATAATCTCCAGGTTGCATCTGGGTCTAGAAGAGGGAAGGGAAGGGGCTGGACGGTGAGATGATTACCCCCCCCCCACCTCTCCATTGCCACACTCTTCATCAGCCCTAGTAGCTCACATTTGTGTAGCAGGCCCTGCTGTGCATTTGGCACAGTTTACTCAACCCTCCCTTTTTTTGAGACAGGGTCTCTCTGCGTAGTCTTGACTGTCCTGGAAATCACTCTATAGACCAGACCTTGAACTTACAGATATCTGCCTGCTTCTGCCTCTCAAGAGCTGTGATTAAAGGTGTGCACTACCACCCCTGACTCTCCCCTTCCTCATTTTTAAAAAATATTTTATTTATTGGGTAGGAGAGATGGCTCAGCAGTTAAGAGCATTTGACTGTTCTTCTGGAGGACCCGGGTTCAATTCCCAGCAACCACGTGGCAACTCACAACTGTCTAGAACTCTATTTCCAGGAGACTTGACACTCTCACATAGGCAATACATGCAGGTGAAACACCAATGCTCATAAAACTTTAAAAAAAGAAACAAAGCCGGGCCCTGAGGGGGCACACATTTAACCCCAGCACTTGGAAGGCAGAGGCAGGCAGAGCTCTGTGAGCTGACGGCCAGCCTGATCTACAGCATAAGTTCCAGGACAGCCAGGGCTGTTACACAGAGAAACCCTGTCTTGAAAAAACAAAAACAAAAACAAAAAAATATTTACTTATTGTTAAGTATACACAGTTCTGTCTGCATGCATGTATGCTGCAGGCCAGAAGAGGGCACCAGACCTCATTACAGATGGTTGTGAGCCACCGTGTGGTTGCTGGGAATTGAACTCAGGACCTCTGGAAGAGCAGCCAGTTCTTTTAACCTCTGAACTATCTCTCCAGCCCCCAAACATCCATCCCCATCTTATGATGAAAAAAAAAAAAATGTCACAAACTGGAGCTCCTGTACAAGGTTAAATGGTTGGCTAGGAAATGACAGAGCTGGGATGTGAACCCAGAAAGTCTGGCTGGGAGCTCAGGCCTTCATCTTCTAAACCACTGCTAGGTGCCTGTCGCACCTTCAGAAGTTCCCCAGCAGATGCCTCCAGGTGTCCCAGCCCCACCAGAGAAGCCCACTCCACAGAGTGGAAAGGGGGCATAGCTTTCTACCAGCCCCACACCAACCGGCACTTACAGTTTTGGGAGTAGGGTGTCCTTGTATGTTGGGGCCTCGAATCCAGGTAAGAAACGGCCAGTGTAGTTGATCTTCTCCACCAGGGTGTGTGTGGTATCTCCGTACTGGGGGGTGGGAAGCAGCTGGAGTTGGAGAAGCCCCTACCCTCCCTACCTTATCAAGGCCCAGACAGCAGCAGAACTGAGTTCTACCCTGAATCTGACCCTGACTTGGTGGGTGAGCCTTTCTGGAATTCATGGCTTCCTGCCTTTTGTTCGGTAGAGTCTTTGCCAGTCTTCTTGTAAGTCCAGAAATTGTGATATAGGGATTTGGTTTTCTTCTTCATGGCTTTAGTTTAGATTGAGTCTAGACTTACTGGCACTAAGTCTCAGGGATTTTTCTGTATCTACCTCTAACCCTAAAATGCTGGAGTCACAGGTACGCATTGCGGTGCCTGGCTCCTCCCCTTCCTCCCCAGTGCTGGGGATTGAACCTAGGTTCTTACACATGCTAGGCAAGTGCTCCACGGAGCTGTGCCCCCAGCCCAAACGGTGCCTGGCTTTTTATCTAGGTGCTAGAGATCTGAACTCACGTCCTGACGTTTGTTCAGGACTTTACCCGCTACTCCATCCGTTTCATCTCCGAAGCAGCCCCAGCCCTCTCTTCCACTTTTTAGATGTTGAGACAGCATCTCACTGAATTGCTCTGGCTCGATTTGAGCCTAAGTGCCTGGAATTTGTGATCCTCTTACCTCAGCCTCCCAGAGGCTGAGATCACAGGCCTTCCTCACTGGACCAATTTTAGTGAACTGGATTTCATATAACATGAAGGAAGTAGGACTTGTGGCTGCCTCCGTCTCCCCATAGCGGGAGTCCTGCACAGGCTCGCCGTCCCTGTGGTGAGTGGACTCTATGCTGGTCATTGTCCTCCGGGTGCTTTCCAGATATAGGAGGGGTCATAGCTGAGGAGACTGAGGCACAAGGAGGCTCAGTTGTGCCCAGGGCACATGGGAAGTCCCTTCCAGTTCTGCTCATTTCAGCAATGCCACAGATGGGGACCAAGCTAGTGTCAGGGGTGGCTTCCTCAGATGCCACTGCTCCCCCCTTTTAAAGCCCTCACCTCTGCTGAAGTTTATATCTCACAACCCCACAACCCCCCCCAGGCTGTCACGTCCCCCTGGGGGAGATGAGGGTGCCTGGTAGCCTCTGATAAAAGTCAGTCTCGAGGGAGGCTACACCCTGAGGCACTCGGGTAGGTGGAATAACCGGTGAGTTGGGGTGTGTGTCCTGCTGCCTCGGTGGGCTCCTACAATAGTGGGAGTGGGCAGCAGAGTTCACTCACCGTCTGTAGCACAGCGAACTTCACCTTCCCGAACTTGTCTTCTTCCACCCAGGGTTCCCTCACAATTTTGGCTCCCCGTTCCCGGGCTTTCTATATGGGAGACCAAGTTGGGAGAATGGTGAGGGATGGAGCCGCCCAGAGACATGTTGCGCTGCTCCTGCTGGGGGCTTCTGCTGTGTAGTCCTGATGTAAGCAGGGACACCTAGCTAGCTACCTTCAGCTGGACCTTCTGGAACCATGCCTCAGGCCCGTGTGGCAGGTAGAGGAACAGGTCCAGGCTCCAGGTTGTGCTTATAGGAGACAAAGCAAGCGAGCATGCTTGTCTGCCCTGCTTCTACCTACTGACTCTTTGAGCCAGCCATCTCTCTCTCCAGTCCTCAGTTTCCCCTCCTAGAAGAGGAGTGGTCACATAGCAAAATGCGAACTGCTGTTAACTGAGCACCTAATACATCACACATTTTCTTAGCAGGAGCTCACTCGAGCTATAAGACACGCTCCTGTCTGTCACAGGCCAGGTACTATCCTAGGTGTTAATCTCTCCAGTTCTGACAGTAACCTTACACAGAGGTGGCATTGTCCTCTCCGTTCTGTAGACAAGGGAACAAGCACAGAGAAGTTAAGTCACACAGTCAAAATCACACAGCGGCTCGCTGATCCTCTAAGCTCCCATTTTCTTTCCTTCAGTGCTTTGCCAGGGATGCAAATTAGGCAAGTGCTCTACCATGGAGCCCAACCCATAAAAGAGGAGAGTCCTATGTAGCTTAGGCTAGCCTTGAACTCTCAAGGTAGCTGAGACTAACTTTGAACTCTTGAGGTTCAGGGTGTGCATCATCATGACTGGCTCTAAAGAACTCCATGCTCCAGACATAACCATTTTAAACCATCTTCTTTCCAACCTATGGCTATGGTTATTTCCATTTTGTAGATGTGGGCACGCACTCAAGGACTGGGAGTGTGTCACTCACGGCTTGTCCCCCTAGCATCCAGCCTGACTGGCGGGGTCCTGGTGGCAGAGGCCTGCTCTGTCCGTTTAGTGCTTCTCACCTGCACAATGTGGTCGCAGTCTTCTACCTCGAATGCGATGTCCTTCACCCCATCGCCATGTTTCACCAAGTGGTCGCCCATCTCTGTGGCCAGCAGAACACAGGCCGTGGAGGTCCCAGCCCTACCCCGGCCCCAGCCTCACCCTTGCCCCGACCCCTGCCCTGATCCATCTGGCAGAGCCATGCTGCCACCCCCTGTGATGCCCCTCACCTTTGTCCCAGGGGTTGAGAGCAGAACAGAGAACAAACACAATCTAAAAAGTGGATAAGGGCTGGGATTGGTGGCGGGGAGAGGGTAAAGTGCATGCCCTCCACCTTCCCTCCCCGGGTGGGACACAAGGCTCCACCACACAGGATCCCTGGACCATGTGTTCCAGCTCCTCCTTGCCTCAGCTTTCTCCCTGGTCCTCAGACCTGGGGGCTTTCCCATGTGGTAGCCATGTACTGGAGCCTCAGTGGTCAGTGCCTGTAGGACTCCAGGGATCCCATGGACCAGAGACCATTTAAACGCCCTTGTCTGACATCCTAGGTTTCTAGAGCTTCTATGGGGCCAGTGCTGGGCCAGTATGAGAGGGGTGTGAAACAAAGATCCTATTGCCTGGCTCACGAATCAGTGGCAGCTCTGCCATGCATCCTGGAAGCAGCAGGGTGTGTGTCCTGGAACGGTAGCATACCCCACGCAGGACACACTGAAGCCCACAGCAAGACACCTGGTTGTGCACTCACTTTCCCTTGTTTGATGACATGGCTGACCACCTCCCGGGAGCCAGTCTCCAGGCCCCTGTAGGCCATCGGTTCGAAGCCCATCTTGTTGCAATAGAAGGAGGCAGCCTGGATGACACAGTGGCAAGGGGCTCAGAGGGAGGGTGGGGACCACCCCAGAGATCCCTAGCAGGGAGCCCTGGTCTGCCTCTTGTTCTTCATTTGGAGATCCCCCCCTCTAGGGAGAAAGGCAATCCCCCCCCCCATCCCGAAAAGTCTATGGCTCTGATTGTGTAACAAGGATCCAAAGTGCCAGCTCTAGCCCGGCCTGGATCCTCCCCTCACGGTAGCCAATCCCAGTTCCAGCTGGGACCAGCCCCCTTAAAGAGGCCCTCTGGCCTGTCCCCTGCCCCCTCCCGCCTTTCTACCTGCTTGGCGTTGCCAACCCAGAAGGTCACAGAGTGGAAATGGAGGAACCGGCCTCTCTCAGGCTGCAGGACGGAAGAGGGATTAGGTTGAATTCCCGGATGTAGGTTCTCTTGCCACCTCTCTCCAGCCTCGACCCCAGAACGTAGGGGAATGTCACCCACAACCTCCATCTTTGTCTAGCCTCCAAGGATACTTCTTGTTAGAGGATTTGAGCTCCTTGAGGGTTCAGAATGACACTCCTACATGAGGCCTGCCCAGGGTACTCAGAAGGAAATGAGCTTATTTGGGGAGAGCATGGGTGTCAGGTGGACTGGAGAAGGAATTTGAACAGGTTTAAGAGCTCAGCAGGCATTTCCGAAGGGCTCTTTGGGAAGCCGCCATTGAGTCCAGCTTGGTCAGTTGGAGAGGATGGGGATGAGCTTGAGGATGCAGGCATAGATGTCGCATACGCACCAGCATCCTTCCTCCTCTCCTCTTTCACACCGTGTTCCCCTCTTAGGCCAAGGGCCCCACGTCTCTCCTCCCCTTACCTTTGGTCCTTTGTTGGTGTAGGTTGTCTAGCAGGGAAAGGAAGAGTACAGTGAGAGGGTATGACCCGGGGACTTCTTGAAGAGTCACCACGGGTTGGCACTCGCAGCTACCCCCATGGCCAGACAGACTTACCATGGTTGATCGTGGTCACAGTTGTGGTGGTGAGGAAGAAGACTGGGATGAGAAGCCTGGGGAGGTGCTGGACGGTGTATTTACCACCTGGCAAAGGCAGGGCCCGCCTCTGGACTGGCCTTCCTGGGGGTGGAGAGCTGAGCTAACCCTGAGAGCGCCTAGGCTTGGGAACCCCTGAGTCAATTCTGGTTTCACAGGGGCAGGGCAGAGGTGTGGACTCTGAGGGAGTGATGTTGCTACAGCTCACTGGGCCAATAGAGCAGAACCAGGCAAGAAGCCAGGGGCACATTCTCTCTAGGACTCGGGGCTGGGACCATGATCTTTGCCATTTGGACTGAAAGCTCTAAAAGCCAGGCCAGCTTGAGTGCTGCGCCCACTGACTCAGGGGCATCGGCTGGGTGGTTCGGGGTTTGTTGAAACCCACTTTTCAAAGCAAATACGTAGATTATATTTAGGGTAAATATAGTGACCAGGTCACTAGAGGCATGGGCATAGGGGGTTTATATCCTGGCTCTGCTGTGGAAACCAAGCATGGGAGCCACAGTTGCTTTTTCTGTAAAATGGGAACAATGGCCAGGTTCGGTGAGACATGTCTATAATCCGAGTTCTACAGGTCAGGCATGAGGATTCCCACAGTTCAAGTCCAGCCTGGTCTACATAGTGAATGCTTAGCCAGCCAAGCAAGGGATATACAATGGATAATATGGAGGGATCCATCAGATGACCTGTAGTCTTTGGAATGGGACCTGGAGCATGGTATGGCTCTATTTGTGTTGTTTGTAATTAGTTACACTGCTTTGAGAATGGAGGTCGGGCCTCAGCCTTGCTATGACTTAAATATTTATTAGAGTGGAGGTTATGTCTTTATCCCTGCCCCTGGCTCTTAGCAGCATGGGGTGCCGGGAAGGCATTTAAATCTTTGGGTCTTACTTTCTAGGAAGATGAAGTGACAACAGCTGGTTTTTACCCGAGGGCTTCAGGATAACACTGCCATCCCCCATCTTCACTCTGGCTCTGTACCAGGGCCTAAAACCTCTTTTTGCTGGTTGACAGTGGAGAGCCTGGCTGAGGGCTCAGGTTTTGACAATGTAATTGACAAGAGGCAGAATAAACCAGTCTACTCCAAGTCCAGGGACCACACTTCAAATATGTGTTGTAATGCACACTGTTCATCCCAGCACTTGGGAGGCAGAGGCAGGTAATCTCTGTGCATTTGGGCCAGCCTGGTCTGCAGACTCAGTTCCAGGACAACTAAGGCTACACAGTGAGACCCTGCCTTGACCCCTGACCTCCCAAAAATGGGGGGGGCATATTTTGTTATCATTGTCAGTGAAGTGGAGAGACTGGACCAGGGAGGTAACTCTTGGCAAAGTATTGCTTGGTAAGCATGAGGGCCTTGGTTAAACTCATGAACCCTGAAGTATGTGGTTGTGTGTCCTTTTAATCTCAGCATTGGGAAGATGGAGACAGGAGGGTCCCTGAGGCTCCCCGGGCAGCCAGCCTAGTCAACATGATGAGTTCCAGGTCTATCAGAGGCTCCAACTCAAAAAGCAGGAACAGGGTGAACAGTACCTGAGGAATAACACCTACAATTGTCCTCTGACTACTACATGCAGATGCACACACAAGCATATCACACACTTACATCACACATGTACATTACACACACACACACACACCACCTGCACCTGTTGTACTGACCACGCACATTGGGGCATGGACATAGGTGCAGACATGATCTGTGGAGAGGCTAGGTTTGGGGTCCAGGACCCCAGCTTGCTTGCTTCCTGGTCAGGTTTCGGAGAGCATCCAGGGGCATACTTGGAGTAGGAACACTCAGCGGTCATCTGTTTCGGTTGTAAGTGATTCCTCCCGGAATAAACATCATTCGACCTATATTGTGTCCCAGTGAATCTTATTTCATATGTGATACACACACACACACACACACACACACACACACACACACACACACCACAGAGGTGTGATAATTGAGTAAACTTAGAGGTTGCCCAGCCCAACTGGTGGGAACAGAGAACCAAACTCTAGCCTGTCTGATTCTGAAGTTGAATCTTACCAACCCTCCAGATATCATTTTTCCACTTTTAACCTCTGTATCTGGGGCAGCTAAGAAGGCAGGATAGGTGGTCTTGCTCCCTCATTCCTGCCTCCCCTGGGTGACTTTCCCCAGAGGAGGTTCCACTGGCAGATAAGCCCATCCGTTATTACCCTGCCCTGGCCAGCAGGAACATCTTGTATTTTGTTTGCTGTGACCAGCTCACCTCCCTGCTGCTGGAACCTGACCTGGCTTATAGCCTAGGCACAAGGCCATCTTGTCCTGAATCCAGCAAGCACGTCATGAGCAGCCTTGGGGTACACAAGGCTGAGTAGCAGGTGTCTGGCTCAGCTGGGCACGGTGGTGCCCGAGTCTCTCCTCCCCTCTGGCCTTTACTTCCAGAAACATGCTGGAAGGTGCTTGTTTATCTTTGGGCACAGTCTAGGGAGGGGACTCTCAAGACTTAGCCTCTGGAACCCCCTTGTCCCTTCCTCATGCTCTAGCTGGGCTCTGTTGGACGTCAGATAAGTGGTGGTTGGGATGAGACCATTCTGCTCCATATATATGAGACGGATTTCTTTGTGTAGCTTTGGCTGTCCTAGAACTAACTGTGTAGCCCAGGCTGACTCTGAACTCTCTGAGTGCTGGGATTAAAGTGTGCACCACCACCATCACCACACAGCTTTAAATAGGCTCTTAAAGGTGGTGCTGTGGCTCATGCCAGCTATCTCAGTACTTGGGGGTAAAAGTAGGACTTCAAGGCTAGCCTAGGCTACATGAGAACTGTATCTCAAACCAACCAACCAAACAACCAACCAGACAGACAAGTCTGCATCACACCCCACAGTACAGAAAGAGCTCCCATAGCAGACCTAAGATACAAGGGGGTCTTGGTTAGTACTCAGGATCCTGGGCTCCAGGAAGGTTCCCTTCTTTCTCAAAAAAATGGCAAAAGTGGTTGACCATGTCCAAACAGTTTGGTTTATTCAGCGTGAAGCTGATGGTACAACTCAGTGGTAGAGAATGGGTTCCACCCCCCCCCCCAAACCCCGGTACCAATGAGAGAGAATGGAAAGGAGAGGACAGCATCGAGGAGGGAGGAAGAAAGAGCAGGCGCAGGCATGAATTAATGAGCTTCTGTGGAGTGATGGGGAAAGAGCCTCAGGACATATGCTGGTTTTGGTTTTTCACCAGGTTGGAGATCTGATGGGGGACATCCTTCTGTATATGTTTTTCTTATTGGTTGATGAATAAAACACTGCGGCCAATAGAGGCAGGGAGATAGGCGGGGCTACCAGAGAAGCAGAATTCTGGGAAATGTAGGCAAACAGCAGTCCTGATGTGATCTGGGAAGAGAGGATGCATTAGGCGTTCTCCAGTAAGCCAAGACCATGTGGAAATACATAGATTAATAGTAACGGGTTAATAATTAAGACAGAGCTAGCCCTAGCCACTGGCCAACAGTTTTATAAGTAATATAAGTCTCTGGAGTGTTCATTTGGGGAAAGATGGTTGTGGAACCGGGTGGGAAATCCTGTAACAGAGATCCACCTGCCTCTGCCTCTGAGTGCTGGGATTAAAGGCGTGTGCTGCCACCACCACCCGACTTGTTTTTTAAGGCACAGAGCAATATATGTAACATGTTACTGTTTATGTAAAACAAATAAAACCCCACCACAACTCTGTCTATGGCTAGTTTTAATCTTGTTCCTGCAGTTGTGTTCCATTTTACACAGCACCAGACTTACCAAGGACTCTGAGCCACTTGATATTTTTAAAAATCATTTATTTCTTTTTATTCAGTGTGTGTTGGTATTTTTGTCTGCAAGTTTGTCTGCGTCAGGGTATCAGATCTTGGACTTGCAGGAAGCTGACCTCTGTCTTCTCTGGCATGCCAGGCTTTCTGTCTCCTGGATTCCCAGCTCTTCCCACCTGATGGCTCTTGCTGTCTCTGTAGCAAATCACACCCACGAGATTTCCACTACGATTTGCATGACTTGACAGTTTTGTAAATATGGCTTGGGCAGTCATATGGACAGAAACATAATTTCATGAAATTCAGCCTTTTTAGCGCACAGCTCTGCGAACCTCAAAACACACACACACACACACACACACACACACACACACACACACACACACACACACACACACAGTTTTGGTGCTATCACATCGGTCAAGACAGAAACAACTCTGTGACCCCAATATGTCCCCGTGTACTTTTCCTCCTCTAGCCCCAGGCCTGGTGACCACTCTTTCTATCACCCTCTGTTTATTAGTTTTATATGCATGCTTGTGGGCCTGAGTGTATGTATGTGCACTTCATGTATGCGACGGAACACCTACTCTTGCCTTTTCCAGAATAGCATGTGGATAGATCTCACAGTGTGTAGGCTTGTGAATATGCTCTTTCATTCAGTGTAATATACTTGGGGGTCTTCTCTGTTGTACGTAGACAGTTTTAAGTGTGAGAGAGACGGGGGCTGGAGAGGTGGCTCAGTGGTTAAGTGCATGAGCTTCTCTTGCAGAGGACCCGAGTTTGATTCCCGTCACTTACTTTGCAGCTCACAACTGCCTGTAATTCCAGTTCCTGGGGAGCTGATGCTCTCTGTGACCTCTGAAATCTCCCGCATACAAATGGTGCATATAAACACACATGGACCCACACACATACACATGAACAGCGTGGGAGATGGAAACCAGGGCTGGGGGGACTCTGGGAAAGTGTTTTTCCAGTTTGAGGAACTGCTAAACTTTCCCACAGTGTAGGTATCATCCAGAATTCTGCCACTGGGTGATGAGTTGGCTTACTTGTCAACAAACACGGGGACCTGAATTCGGTCCTTTCTATCTACATGGTTGGAAGGAAAGCACCTACTCCACGCGTTGTCCTCTGACCTCTGCTGTGGTGTGTGAGCGCCCATACCCACCCCAAATAAGTAAGTAAATAAAAGTTACAGTCAGTTGTGAGCTGCCATGTGGATACTGAGAATTGAACTCAGGTCCTCTGGAAGAGCAATCAGCGTTTTTAACCATTGAGCCATCTCTCCAACCAAGTCTTCTTATTTTTGTCATAGTGGGTATTGAACCTAGGACATTACA